TGTTTCTGCAGTTTCTCAGCATTTTGTGACAAAAAGCAAAAGGTCTGACAGACTTTTCTTTGCGTTGAGGTAGTTGCTTTTGCATCAGTCTTACCGATGTATGATATTGTGAGCAGTCGACTCCTCTCGAGTGGCGGCGCCCACGCTGCCCACATAGTGTACATTGCAGGGAAAGTGACTCCCTGAAGACAAACAAAAGAACAAAAGTCAACAACAGGAGTGAGGTTGTCTTGATGAGCATACTTATTTTTAACACTCACTTGATCTCTGATGCTCAGAAAAACATTGTGATAAAAAAAAAAAAAGCTCATAATTATTCATATTTTACTGTTAATTCCTCTACCTCTCCTACACCTTCCAGCACTCTGAGTGCAATGAGGTAACCTGCACCCAGGTCAGCAGCCACAGGGGTGAGCAGGGTAAAAACTGCAGTTCCCAGGATTCCAAAGCCCATTAGCCACTTGGGACCTAAGCGACCAGCAAGGTAGCCCCCAGGTATTTGAGTCAGGATGTAGCCATAGAAGAATGAGCCCAGGATCCAGCCCTGTGTCTCAGAGTCCCAGTCGTACACTCTGGCCTGTGAGGGGGGGGGAGAAAAAAACAGAGCTACTTTAGGAGTTAAACTACATCAAAAGGCCTTTTTGAATGAATGAATGCAGTATGTGTTGGTTAATTGACTTAGCCTATAAATCGTGTTACATTTGCATGTTTTCACACTATAATCTACCAACAACTTGAATGTTTTTATTGTCTCTTTTAAAGCCTCTACCAAGTAGTGTGAAATGATGACGAAAGCCACCACACCCAACCCAAAATGAGTTCAGTGCAATAGGTTGAGAAAAAAAAAAAAAAGTGTATAGTCCTTAACGGTGTCCTGTTCTTATTGTGTCCTGTATCATCAAAAGTGGCTACAGGTTAGATAACTCTACAAAAATACAGCCTCCTTGCAAAACTGTTCTTACATAAATGAGACAAAACCTTTGGATAATGTAAGATGTGTTGTGTTGATGGGTGTGTTGAGAGAGAGAGAGGGATGGATATCAACTCATTTTCAGTTGCAGTTTACATTCAGTAATGTCATTTACAGCATTAGGTTGCAAAGTCATGGCGGATTAAAAAAAAAACAAAAAAAACACCTGCCCTATTTATTTAAACACTTAAGCAATATTTATGCATTAGTACATAATGCTGATCGCCAACAGTTCATTTTCCAAAAGAAACTGCTGACTGTGAGTCTCCTGATTCAAATAATCCAGACAACGTCTTTGTTTCCACTGACAGCTGAGAAAAATGGGGAAATATTGCTGTAGCACTTCAGGCTTTTCTCCCCCTGGAGAAGCCTGCCAATGAACGTTTGTCGATCTGGTGTGATTGCTTTGGCCCTGTCAGCATAAAGAATGTTTTAAGACAAAACTCAATGTTTAAATCTCCAACAAGAAACACACTTTTGGAGTGGAAGGATATTCTGAATATTTACTTGTTGTGAAAATGATATGCTGAGCGTTGATTTTATCGCGCTTACTTAAATCTAACCTAAGTGTTTGGAGTCTTTCTGTTTTTTCAGGTCAGCGAAGGTAGTTATGTCTCACTGTTGTTGTCACAGTCTTGCTCACCGTGTGGTTGTGTTTGGGTCGAGTAGGGCTGGCATGAGCTGGACAAACGGAGAAGCTGTGGTTGGTGCTGGACTGGTGGGTGGTATTAAGCATGTCGACCATGGCCACGCTGAGGTTCACCCGCAGGGAGTAGACCACGAAGAAGCCTAAGGAGGAGAGCAGCGCCAGGCAGTAGCGTGATGAACAGCATGCTGGGGCTGCAGAGTTAGAGAGAGAGGGAAATCTTAACTCCATTACCGACTTCTTGTTACATGAAAAAAAACATGAGTCTGAGCTACCTGCTTAAATGATTAACTAAACCACTGCGACTATATAACTCACATAAATCATCTTTACAAAACTGAGAATGGGCATCTCATCTAGCAGGTTGCTATACTTACACAGGAAACATCATTTTTTAAGTCACACAAGCCAACCTTGATCCTCAGCCTGTTTAAAGAAGTAGCTCGATCCCCAGTTCACCTTTACACAAGCTCAGCATCCTACCTAATATTTCACATCTAAATCCTTTCCAGAAAAAAAAAAAACTTCTTGGCAGTTCAGACTATGCATGATTTTGAAAACGTATTCTGCAAACTTGATTCTACTGAGCATGTCTCATAACACTGGTGGTGCCAGTCGTATGGTATGAACTAGACAGATGTCACTTTAACTCGTGACTCAGGATAATTATGCCATCTTGGAACAGGTTAGGTGTGGAGAAAATACACCCTTAAAAAAAAAAGGTCTCTAGAGTGACAGCTAACGTCAACAAAGTCATGATAAGCATAATTAGATCCTTATGGGATGATAATAAAAAGGACGTAACAATATGCAGGTGTTCATGTCTCCTCACTGAGTAAACAAAGAGTCGCCAAAGGGAAAATGTGGACAACGAAAATACACAAGAAAAAAGCCCAGACCTACTACGAAACAAAGTTTATTTTAGATATATTCCCCGAAAGGAGCTCTGTTATTGTTTGCCAGCTGTGTTAGTTATGGCTTCATTTACCCCTCTGGACTTTGTCTTCCTGACTCCGCTGAAGAAGAGGGGTCTCCTGCTCGTCCCCTTCCGTGTCCGAGCCGTACTCCAACATCTTCAATAAAGTATATTTAACTGGCTATACTTCATCTCCGACAAAGCTTTTACATCAACACAACAGCTGCACACACTCGACTGGATCGTCCGGTCAGCTGAGCTCACCGCACACGACCAGCTTCCTCTGCGTTCACGTGGTAGCTGAAATAATCGGACAATTTAGCTTTCCAACGGGACAATTACGTGAAGCCCGAAAATTACAAGTTACTTTCCAAGTTGACAAACAAGCAGTCATTCAGCTTATAATGTGTGTGCTAGCTATATTGTCAGATTGTTGCTTAATTCACTGACTTCCAATAGAGAACTCAAAATGTATTTCATTTCTGAGAACCAAAACGCTACATTGAAATTTATCGATTGGCTCTCATAAAATAGGCCTATATTTACAGGAAACCATGTTGTTACCATTAAGTGTCCATGTACATTATATGAAGCGTCATTGTTATTTCAATATCAGACCATGTGAAACGCACCAAAGTCAGAATTACGTTGCGTTGCAACTCGAGAAATGGTGCCATTCGAGGCGCACTTGAATGCAGCATGTCTGTCGTCACATGGTCGTCACTTGACGAGGGGAATCCGACCGGAAGTAAGTAAACATGAAAAATACATTTCCCCTCCTAGTTTGACTTCAGGTTAAAAAGCAAAAACAAAATTGAAGTGTTGGAAAAGCAGAAGTTAAGCTACATGCAGCTGATAAGCTTCCTGATTAAAATGTTGATGACTAAAAGGGTGGAGAGACTGAGAGATTCTATTTATTAAAACCTTTAATTTGCCTAAACGTTTTTAAATAGGTCAACTTGTTGGTAATTGTGACATAAATAATAGACCATAACTCTACTGTAATGATGAAGTGTCAGTGCCAGAGCTAATACTGATATGTCATTCTTATTTTGTAAAATACATGATTTCATAGGTTGAAAGGGCTCAACACGTCAGGGCCATTGATATCAATGAATTGACTTTCTGCATGGGACTAATCTATAACTTGTAGATGATATGAAAAGTAATGTCAATGCCTTCAAGTCAATTATATCATGCAACCCTGAAGCCCATCCTCAACCTGTTGCTCCCTTTTTTTAAAATAATTTCTCAAAATTACAGATAGAAGTTACACATTGTGTTTTTTTTTTTTTATTGCACTCTATGTAGATTGTATAGATTATAGATTGTTGGAGCACAGGTGGCTTATTAACTCGGGGCTCCAGAACCAGGGGTGCTCTGAAGGTCTCCAGTGTGGTATTTACTCAATTATTTGCCCCACGTCAATGTAATACAAATTGAAATGTGTTCAGCATTGTGTTTTATTCTACACAATAGGGTCCTTTCTTACAGAGGCAACTCCATGGCAAATTGAGGTCTCCACTTTGTGGTTTTGATCAAGCAAAATGTAATAATATATGGTCTCCTAATTCTGAAAAGAAAGAAATAAGGCAGAGTTCTGACCTTTCTATTATCTCATCCTTATTGTTCCTTGTTTCCTGGTTTCGAATCATGTTAGACTCCGACCAAGAAGCAAGGACACAACAGTCTTTATGCTTTGATTTCAATTATTGTAGAATATAAACAAGTATTGTTTGTTGTTCAGAGAAAAATTGGACACCCTCCCACCGCAAACACTCACATGTAGCCACAACATCAGATGATGTGTGGGAATGATGTAACCTTCAAACACATGTTTGTTGTTGAAAGGAGAAGAAGCTCCGCTGTTCCTCTCCAGGCATCACAGTCTCCACTGCAGAAAGAGTTTCATACTGACACATGGTTAATATAACAACTCTGAATGTATTAACACAAACTGTTTTGTCAATCTTTTTTTCGGAGCCTTTTAGCTTTAGCATGTTGGTTGGGGAGAAATGCTTTATAGTGCTAGGTCCTTCAATTTTAGGAGTCAGAGGCCAACCGGTATCCAATCTGCTGCTTTAAACTGCTGGTATTTGTTGAGTATAACTATAGCAGCTATAAGCTATATTTCTTTTTCATACTATTGATCAGAGGGCTGTGTGCAATGGGAAAGAGGTTGCTTGTAATGACCTATTATTTAAACAAAAGCTTAAATGAAATTACCTCGGAACCATTCACGTGTCCATGTAACACACATTAATCAGCCAATTTAATTTTCTCGTGCAATACCTGATTTTCCCATTTCAACTCTGACCTGTGCTGCTGTATCAATGATCCCCATTAGCACCCATTCACGCCTCTTCCATCAAATGATTTAGCTCCAGTCTGTGACTGTACGACGTGCAGATGTCTCTCTCTCTCTCTTCTCCTGATCTTTCCCCTCTGTCCCTCTGCTCTGTGAAGACAAGGGGTTTTTTGTGCGAAAGGGGAATCATAGGACTCACATGCTTTGGAGGAGAAAAAAAACAAATCGCAGCAGAGGATTGGGTTGTTCAGAGGGGGAAAGAACAAGGCAGAGGAGCAGACATCTGGAGCTGGATAAGACCTTAGAACTGGACAGCTTTAAATCTGGAAAGGACAAAATTGGACTGGATACCTAAACATGGAAAATGGACAAAGCGAAACAGAAGAAAGGACGGAGGATGTGTCAGAAGGTAAAACAAGTGTCAAAAGACTTGAGCTGTAACTTGAATAGATTCTCCTGGAGAGAAAAGGTTAGGGTTTGTAATTTTGCTGCAACTCATAGAATGAAAGTCATGGATTCTTATGTAAATTACTCCTTTCCTTTAATGAAAGAAGTCAGGGTTGAGAACACACATTTGGTGTTACATTGTTGAATTGGCTGTGGATTATGTGGAGTCTTGTTCAGGAAGAGTCGGAACACGATCATACTAACAGAATTCACCCTTATTGTTTTAGATCTAATGATCCTGCACTGATATTATTTTTAAATAACAAGTCTATGAAAATACATCCACTGATATATTTATCTCACCTGAACATAACATTCACAAGCAATTTTGAAAAGGATCCCTTCGATGTCTTATAGTTTTACCATAAGGATAGGCACTATAGGGACACTTAATACATACTCTCATATCTCTGCATTTAGCCCTGTCTGTGTTCTTTTGCAGATGATACTTTTTTTTTTTGCAGCCAGGAGATAACGCACATTGGATGAGGAGTTGGATTGTTGGAGATTTGAGGCAGTTGACATTCTCTTGCTTTGCAACCAAGAGTTCACTTCTTATACAGTCAATGGCTGTTTCATCAATAGAGCAGGGGTGTAATGTTTCTCACATGTACACCAAAGTGGAACAATAACAGGACTAAGATATGCAAGTAAGGGCTAAAATGCTGACAAAATGTACCAGGAACTATAGAACTTAACATATTAGTGTGTCAAAGTATTATCTTTATCCACTTTGTCTAGAGGAGAAAACAAAACACCTTCACTGTTTTCACTGTTGTGCTTTTTTTTTTTATCTATTCCTAATGCTAATTAAAAAAAAAATGCATCCAATCACACATCAACTTTTGGACATTTTCTGTAGTTTGCTATCAGACAGACGTGACAAGAAGGCATCGCATTGTTTCCCCGTTTGTTTTGGGGGCGGAACTTACACTTAACTTCTACAAAGTTAAATCTACCAATAAAATCAGCCGGGCTTAATAATAAATAACAGATAATAACTAGATGGTTATATTGTAAATTCCATCATGCCAAAGATGTGTGCCATAGCATTATACAAAGTAAAACTATTCATTGTAACATCAGTTGCATATGTATTTCAGTTAATTGACTGTATGCTCTGTGAGTGACGTCATGTGTTTATCTGACAGTAATTCAGTTATAGAATCTTTTGGTTTCATAACTGTTATCACTTCAACCATTTTTGTCTTTCAGCGTAGGGTCACTCTGGAGCAGTGCAGCTTAAATTTACACTTTGAAGCTAAAGCCTCTAGCCAGTAACAACTGTAACAATTCCTCTTACTGTAGAGCCTGCATGCTGAAAGACTGCCTTATTTCACGCTGTATTCCCTCTCTTGCTCTTTCACATTTAGGAAGTGTTGTGCTTTACAGATGTGGCACATTGCCCCTTGAGGCCTTGTTAATTATGCATGATAATACATGCTTAGTGCGTATTTCGGATGACCCTCTGCAATGTTGACAGCAACCTCATCCAGTGAACTTTCATCAACAAACAGAAGCACTGTGCTTTAATACAACCAGTTATTTGTCTGGGTTGAAAAGTAAAATCAGTCACTTATCTGAATGCTTCTTATACAGCACTTTCCTGCATCCCAACCATTTTGGTTCCACTCTCTAAGTCAGCTACAAATGAGTAGAAATAAATATGTTCTTCCATCAGGAGGCACTTCATGGAGCGGCTCTCTTTACTAGAATTATAACATTTTGTTACCACAAGTTAGTGGAGGGTCAACACATGAGCATGAAGAGGACATAAAAAGAATACTTTGTTCTTTAATGCAGTCGGATGACTCTCTCTTCTGGCAAGGACTGAACTGTGTAGCACTCTCATATGACTGCTGAAGCACTTGACTGTGCTAACAAGGACACCCATAAAAGTTGGGAAAAAGGGAAAGCTTTATGGGCCCCAGCTGCATGAAGGGCCCATGGCGATTAGCAAAAACATAATCTATTCATAAGTTAAGCAATGACAACATAATTTTGTTTTTACACCTAAATAAAAGATTCACATTTCATTTATAGTTGCCTATTTCAGTATATAGCAACCCCCCCCATCCCTTCCCTTTCTTAAGTTAACCATTTAGTCTGTGATGGAAACGTCATGAGCGGGCCAGTTGAACTTAAAGATTAGACCAGAAATGTCTGACTTCTGACCAAAAATACGGATGCCAAAAACAAAAAAGTAAAGGAGGCTAGTGCATTTGACTTGAAGGCAACAATAACTAGTGAACACACCTTTTTCAGTCAGCTCAAAAAGCTGATCAGATCCAGGCAGAGAATGCAAATGTTAGCCAGGAGGCTAGCTCCATCGCTACTGATCAAATACACATGCACTGATATGATTGATAGGCATCTGCTTCTCAGGGGCCCAGCCACTTCTTTGGTTCAGACCTGTGTGATAATGTTGAGCTGTGATAAGAAATGTTGTCATGAGCTGTGCAGCAAAAGGTTTTACCTGATACAGACAGAATCCTTTACTCAGAGACTTTATACATTAACGTTAATAAAGTAACCTAAAAACAGGAATTCACAGTGAGACCAAATAATATAAAGCCTTCCTGAGACAGGTGGTTAGATCTTGAGTGATATCCCCAAAGCTACTATGATTGTCAGTTTAATTTTCTTGGAAGCATTAGCAATACTTAAAGGGATACTTCACCCGTTGAAACATGAATCTGTATTGACATTGGATCATACATGTAGTAGAAATGTGAAATACATTTTGAAGTTGGTGCCTTCTTGGCCGAGAAAAGGCAGAAAGTGTCTTTTTGGCTCATGTGGATGAAAGACACCAAATCCCAGAATGCACAGCACTGCAGGCCACTCCCACGAAGGTCCTCTATTTCAGAATCAGAATCAGAAATACTTTATTAATCCCAGAGGGAAATTCGATCGTTACAGTTTCTCCAAAATATAAAATAGAGCAGTAGAAATATAGAAATAAAAACATTTACAGACATATTTACTTCAACACATGAGGCCATTTCCTCAACTGATTCTGAGATTTCTTCCAGAATTGATCTTGGAAATTCCTGGCAGAAAACAGACTCTATGACTGTGTCCATAGGCAAACAGCAAAAATCGTCATTTTGCATCACTGGAAACTCCTTTTCAGACTTAGAAATACAAAGATTTCTCATCTCAGGGAAAAATGAGGGCGGGATGCACGACCATTCAAAAATACTACCAGGTTTCTAATGATACAAAGCTTAATGCAAATGGCTGAAGTATCCCTTTAGATATACCCCCACTGACTCTCTGCATCACAGAATCTTATCTAAATAAAATGTGCTGAATTGTGTAAGTGTTTGAATTCTATAAGTAGTTTGAGCAATAGATTAACAAGTCAATTCATGGATTACTGAATTCTTGTGAAAACAGGTTCATTGTTTATTGTCGAAGTTTGCACTTTGGAAGTTGAACTACATAATCTCAACATTTCTGTTTGAAAAACATGTTTTAGCTAAGGTCTATCTCTATGGTATGAAGCATCTTATTTCTCTACTTATTGATCTGTCAACCTTTCTAAGGGAGCTTCTGCCTATTTGGATACAAACATCAGCTTTTTTAAATTTTTGTTTCAGATAAAGAAGAACACGTAGAGGAGGTTAACCTGGAGATCGCACAGGTAATCGAAAGCTTTTTTTTTTCTACACAATTTGGTTAGTCTTAAGTTTACAACTCATTTATGGTGAATCTGAAATAAACATTGCAATGATCTTTACTTTTTCATCTACCTACTGTACGTGCATTCAGCATGCAGCATTGACAAACGTATCCCTTTGACAGGTGCTAAACTACAAGGAAACCATTTTAACGTTTTATGTGTTGGCTGATTTTCCTTGAATCACTGAGCTCATTTAAACCACTTAATTGCTAATTCCTTCACACCTAATTTTAAAAATTTCACGGGAAAAATCTTTGACCACATAACGTACAATCTTCTGAGGATCTACAGAAAACATTAGGGTCAAAATCAGAAGAAGTTCAAAGTTTACTTTGTCACATGAGGGGTTGTTGGATCTTCATGGCTCTTTTGACATTCTTGGAGAATGAAAAAGAAACACTAATATTCAACATCCACTGCTTTGATATTCTGACTCATTGTGCTTCAGGCTTTTTACATTAGTGATGATTTTAATGTGACAAATGAACAGAGAGTTCTGTCTTGATTATTTGAATAAAGAAGCTGTTTAAATATAAGAGACAGACTAAATATGTTCACTGAAATGAGCACAAAATTATATTTTTATATTAATTATTGAAGATTATCTGATGGCTTTCCACTCAGTGCTCAGACAATCTAAACAAACGGTGTCAAGCTTCTTTTTAAGTGTCACTTCATATAAAGCGAGGACACAAAAAGTGACTGTTTGACTGAGAGTAACACGGCTCTTCTCATCATGGTGCACGCGGTGATGGCGTGTGAAGCTGTGATTCATGTCCCACGGACTTCAAGTCCTGCAATGTCTCATGACATTTAAAGACAGTTTATTTGCTCACAGCGGAGGAAAATAAGGAGAGTAAAGTAACCGGGTCTTATCAAACACTTAGGTTAAGAGTTTTGCACTTGGTCAGGCAAAAGCATTGCGCAAGCGGATCTGTAATTGATCAGGTTTAAATTATCACAGGCTGCCAAAAAAAACAACATTTTCTAATACATTTCTTAGTGTGTCTCACTGAGGCTACTTGTAATCCCCCTATACTGAATTATGACCTTCTGACACTTAAATTTACTTTCATTTCTAAAATCCTCAACAATAGCTAAACTTGTAACAGAAATAGTTGGATGAAAAATTCTGTGTGGAATGTGGTTGGTCATTAAACCTGAAGCCCCAGGTGTACAGACGTACAGTAGCACTTTTAACCACTGATAGCATCAGAGAAGGCACAGCAGACAGATGCTCTATTCAGTGTGCTGCCTGATGCCTTTCACATGACCGAGAGAGAGTGTGAGCAAGAGAGAGAGAGAGAGAGAGAGAGAGAGAGAGATGGAAAGATTTGGGGAGAGTGAGAGAGAGAGAGAACAGCTCCAACTTATGTTATGTTCCCATGAGCTGATTCAGTTATCCCTGCTGGATAAATTCAATCACTTATGAGAGAAACAGGGAGCCAGATAAAGACTCAACCACACAGGTTATCATGACAAAACGGTCAAAAAGTGACACTTTGAGAGCTTATGAGAGGAAAGAAAAGAGAGTTAACTGGGATACGAAGTTGAACGCAAATGTTCTCTTATGGAAGAAGTCTGAGAAAACCAAGGTGAAGAACCATCAGAACCACAAGAAGTTACAGAAAAATGGAAAAACTGGAAAAGAAAACAGAATGTAATGGTAGAGAACAAAACGTGCTTATACAATGAAAAACCCTTCCAGTATGAAACACAAAATTAATTAGATAAGGAGATGGCAGCAGAACAAAGAGTTCAAAAGTTCAGAGTACATGCAGTGAAAAGTAAAATAGCTGAAAACATAAAGATAAAGATCCAAAGAATATCCTACAGAAATATCTTTAATGATAAATTGCACACATTTAGAAAATAATTGGTAAGTCTTTGAAGAAATGTCACAGGTTAAAAAAAATAATCAAAAAAGAAAATTCAAGCACTCTAAAGCAAAGGTTTCCATTAAATCAAACTTGAACTGAAAACTGAATACACACTGATGAAGAAGAAACGCTCCTGTTGAGTACTTTTGTGAAAAGTTTCAGCTTCTTAAATGTTAAATTCTTGTAAATATTTTTTCCTGATTACATTTCAAGCATTCTGTAGCGGTAGAACGCTCACCTATACAACATTGTTTCTTGTGATGCAGCTGCAGGGCCTGGTGGATGAGCTGCATGATGGGCTCCAGGTCGCTCTTACAGAGCTGTGCGAGCTGCGTCACAGAGACCAGGGCCTGGAGGAGAAGCTCCAGGCCCACGAGACTGATGTGGATGATAAGATAATGGGCCTAAAGAACTCCCTCAACACTTTTAAGGTGCTGGAGACTCTACACAGCACAAACACACATGCACACACACACAAATACACACAAACAGTCTATTCTTGGTAAAAGAGGGCGATAATTTGGAGCATCTGACTGGAACTCTGTCAGAACTGTAAACTAATCCTATTCATTGGATAAAACGGAAACTCCGTCATACTTCAACAGAAGTGGAAATACTGATACACATGTAGGTCATATTGGGAGATTTGTGTAATATACTTTTTATATGAAAGATATTATTATTGTCATCTGATTATGAAAGGTCCAAATGTGGATTTGAATGGAAAGTTGTTACACTTGAACATATAGTGCAGCACTATAATAAATGTTTTGTATCACATTAAGTATTATTACCACACCACAGATGGTGATGACAGCTTAACAAATATGATTACTCTATACTAATTTACACCTATAAGCGGGAACACCTATAATAATCAATAGCTTTTTATTTAAAGCTGATTTTTCCTTGTTTTAAAAACTATCCCAAACTATTTATGTATGAATGACTTATTTCACAATAGGACATCACAAAACTTTTAAAAGCTTTAAAAAAAAAACAACAACAACCTTTTCCTGAAAAATCAATCAAGCAGATTTCTCTTCATATCTGTGGTGTCACAGAGTAAATACAGCACATTCTTCTTCAGTCTTATCAGTTAACAGCAGTTACACTGATGTGGGTCATCTGCTTGCAGGAGGAGCTGAATGTGGCCTTGTTCCACATTAAAGATGTTTCGAGCAGACAAATAGAGGTGCAGAAGAGGATAGAACTGCTTCAGTCAGAAAACAACAACGATTTCATCTCTGTTCCACACAGGTAAAGTTGAAATAAATGAACTATATTCTTTAATTTTTTGCTCTTCTAAAATGAATGTTTCATTGCAGTTGAATCTTAAAGACCTTTTAACGCCACAAAAATGCCTTTAAACAAGGCACCTACTGCAGTACTTCATCTTGTGATCTTGCTTCTTTGAAATAATGCAGATACATAACATGTAACTCCTTCTTTTATTAATTGATTCAAAAGTAGAAAGAGCTCCAAGGCAGATGTCCTTTTGGCACAAGGGGATGAACACATCTGTGTGCCCAGCCAGTCAGAGCTCAGTGTTATTCAACACTTCTTCTCCAGTCTGCCACCAAGTGGATCACCACAGAGGAGCGCCACATCCACACAGCGTCAGTCTATGGAAATCAATCACATCTAACGGCTTAAATGAAAGGTCAGGCAGTGTAAGAGAACTAAGGGAAATGTGTGTGTGTGTGTGTTGCAGCGTCTACCTCTGAGCAGGAGCAGCAGCAGAAAGAGGTTTCCTGTCTAAATCTCCAGCATGGGGAGAGAGAAAGAACAGCAGAGACGACACAGAGACATCCAACAACCTGACTGAAAACAGTAAGAAATACATGTGTAAAATCAGTGAAAATGTACACCAATGCTCAGGTCATGTGGCCCCATAATCACAAAGACGCTTATATTACCAGTGTTGCTTCTAACACTGCAGTTTAGTCACTAACAACAATGCATAACCCAACAAATTACAGTTTGTTATTTGTTTTGAGAAATATGCCTCATTTCTGAAAATTTTCCAAACGTAAGACAAAGAGCAATATCTTTCTCATGTCTGAACATTACATTTAAGGCTACAACCAGTTGGCCTAGCTTAGCATAAGGACTGGAAACAGGGAACAGCCTGGTCATCTTAAAATTAAATATTACCCCTCCACAGCCCCTGTTAAGCACAATTATTAACATGTTCTGTCTTTTTTGGAGTTCTGTTTTTGGAGTTCTGTTGACTGTCTTAGGTCCAGGTATCAAGAAAATGCTGCAGGTAGTCACTTAGCTCTATTCAGAAACACAAACTCAAAACATGAACTATCTTTTTGTTTTGTATGGATTAAACACACCACATTCTGATTTGAACAGCTGTAGACTTGCTGGAAGGTAAATACCATTTGGACAGTGCTAAACTAGATTTGTTATGCTGTTTTCCTCTTGAGTCTTTCTGCTAAGCTAAGCTAAGTGCACTTTTTCAAATGGTCAGTCGTTTTAATTTTATACTGACAAGACCTACTCATTCTTAAATATGGCAATACATTTTTTTACACAATATATTTCAAGATTCTCATCACAAAACCCTCAAAGATAACCCAACCTTTCAGAGTTCAACATTAGGACCCGGTTGTTCAGAAGGATAAGATAAGATCAGCATCATTAACAAACAAACAAATCCTCATTACACAACATTAAAAAGCCTGTCTCGTTCAAAACAGCTGTGAGGAACTTGCAGTTTGAGTGAATTTTGGCACCTCTTGTGGACAAAGTATGTGGTTCCCGTTAAAGCACTTGTAATCTGGATTTGGTAACCGGTCAATGTCTGTACCTGGATCAGGAAGATCCTATCCAGTTTGTTCTTTGAACCATTAAGTTACAATTACGTGATCCATGTTAGAAAAAGTGGATTTCCCAATCTACAGGATTTTTTTTTTTTCCATATTAAACCTTTTTACCTGGGCCCTGGTGATAAAACTTAATTTACCATCTGCTGTAATGTCAGCTAGTATCTCTTTTTAGCAAGCATCATTACTGGCACTGAAGACCGAACAGCAGGGCCTGTTAACAGTCTGAGATATTATAAGAATAAGAGCACCACATACAGCTCGTGTAACTCAGCATAGTTTAACCAAAATGCTGTTTGTGTGTGTGCAGGTAAGAGGCAGAGAGTGGCTCTGGAGCTGCTGGAGTCAGAGAGAGTTTATGTGTCCCACCTGTCTCTGTTACTGAAGGCCAACATCTCCTTTAATGGAACAGAAGCTCTCACCTCCAAAGACAAACGGTAAGCCTGAGGACAATACATTTCAAAAACAAAATCTTACATTGACATTCAAAATAGACATAATTTATTATTAAAATTAACAACTTTTAATGGGTAAGGAGGTTATATAATAAGGAGGAGACAGACATCACTAACCTTTTCTGCCGTGGAAACGATTTCTCTGATCTGTTATGAGTCTTAAACTCAATAAATAGAACAAACTATACAGTCATTTCTCTCAGTCATCACTCACAGGTCATCATTCAGAATCTCTCCCAGGAGTGTCTACTGATCTAATTTAAGAGCTTGCAGTGAGGGGAGAACAGGAAATCTAGTAATGAAATAGACGCAGGGTCTAAACACAAGCGAGTCAGAGAGGATACTCTCTACAAAGCTTACTAGTACGAATACTGCTTAGCTGCAGCACACGAGTTCTTAAGTGGTATTTGTGAATGATTGCATTTGTTTTTATATAAATAACCTTCCGGCTGTCAGAAGTCTGTCACATAAGATGGCAAACTGGCTTCAAATTTAGAACATGAAAGCACAAACACATTTTCATATGCGTCATTCATATGAGGCAGTTGAAGAAGCCAAAACTGCAACAATAATGATTTATTCAAATCATCTCCTCTCTTCAGCAAGGTCAGATTTTGTTATATTATTTAAGTAATATGAATAATTGAGAATAAATGCTTTTAAGGAAGACTTTGTGATTTTTTTTTCTGTTTTTTTGGGGGGCATTCCAATTTTTTTTTTCTCACCATCACTGGTTCTTTGGTGTTTTCAGTCCGTTTCCCAGCTCTCTGAGGTTTCTGATCCAGCAGCACCTGGAGCTCCTCCATACTCTCCAGGAGCGTGTGATCAAGTGCCAGTGGCAAGGCATCATGGGGGATGTGTTTATGAGGCTCACCAGCAAAGAGGTAAACAAGCAAGTTGTTAGTTTGAGCTACTGTGCGTTGATACTGTACATCTTTCACCATTTGCGTTGACTATTGTTGTGATCAAAATGTAGTTTCTTTCAGGGGGAGTAAACGCTTAAACATGTTTGTTAGCGTGAGTCACACTTTCTAATCAAAGAAACAACACCAAAACTGCACATGAAAAACTACAATTTTACACGTGTTACATCTCAAAATGGAACAATAATTGCCAAATAATGTGGAAGCATTTTTACAGCAAATAAACACGTGGATAGTGACAAAAATCCAACAAATCTTCAACACCTGCTAGCAATGACTGTTACATTTACAATTTTACCTTTCGAGAAAAAGGCCTTGATCCCTTGTTGATCTTATTAATATCCAGACATGAAGGATCTGGACCTCCTGCTTATTAACTTCCATAACTTGTCATTCACAATGCACAGTCCTGTTCCAGGCTGCTTAATGCGGCAGGGTCAGAAGGTTTGGTCTTATGACCGGGCATTTATAATGAATCTGAGTCGCTTTGGCTGCCATCAAATCAAATGTCAAATTCCAGCAGAGCCATGTTGAGAGCTGGAATACAGATGTAGTAAAGAAACAGAAGGGATTCTTATTTCTGCACAAATAAACTGATGGCAAAGATGATACCAAGATGACAGAATTAAAGTTCTCTGATAGACTTGTCAGCTGCACAGGTATTCTGTTTGACACAGCAGGGGGATGCCCCTGTTATATATATATATATAGTTTTTATATTAAAAACAAAACTGCGATAAAAACCTTTGAGCTTGAACCATAAGGCTGAAACCTTAAGCCTGCCTACAGACATCACAAACTAAATCTCAGGATCCTCTTCTATTAAAGACAATGTGTGAATCATTTGCTTTGAGTGAACCAGAGGAAATAGAGTACGGTAATTGGTAAGCACACCTCATGAATTAGACACATTCAAGTTCACATTCGCAATGCATTACGGTTCCTCTGAGAGAAAAAAATAAATGGCAAGAAAAAGAAACTTAATAAAAACAAAGAAAGGAATTATTTTATTACAAAATTTTAATTATGCTGTTTTTATACTTTGAACAAGCCAAATGTGTCCTGACAGAATCTCTCTTTGTCTCCTTTCAGAATGATTTCTTGGACTTTTATGTTTCCTACCTGAAGGAGCTTCCAGACTGTCTATCAGTCGTCACCGCACTCTCCTCCAGCTCCATGAAATCTTCTGCGTTTCTGGAGGTAAAAAAAAAAAAAGGAAATGTAGATCATATTTAATGTAAAAACAAAGCAGGATATGAATTAGCGGTTAAATCTAATAGACAGGACAGGAGGGGATAATTAGCAAAGTGTACTCATTAACACTTCTTAAGCACATTGCGCTTACCTGTAATGAAAGTGCTTTAACAATTAAATTACTTGTTAAGCTAAAAATGCAAAGAGTTCATTTAAAGCTCTGTCTGTGATTAACTGGTTTTGTCCCTCCACTCTGATTGGTTGACATGCTCTGATTGGTCCATGATGCATCTATCAGAGTGATATAACAGGTGATGAATCCAAACCGTCTCTCTACACTCTGCTGCTTCAGCCGGTTCAGAGGATCCCTGAGTACCTTCTGCTGCTGCAGGTTAGATTTATACACACAAACCTTTGTAGTAAAAGAGCTTCACTTTTAAACATCATGTGTGGTCAATTCAAACTCAAAATTCCCTCGTGCAGTTCATGCACAAGATCAAAAGAGCTGAAAGACACGTAAAAAACTCTCCTATTCCTGATAGAGCAGATGTGTGAGATGTGTGTCTGAACATAACATCTGCTAAAAAATGTGTGAACATGAATAATAAATGTGTTTGTGCAGGGACTGCTGAGGCAGACGGAGGCGGAGCACCCAGACTATTACCTGCTGCTGGTGTGCATCCAGCAGTTCAGGTCCTTCACGGCTCAGTACCATCACCTCCTCCAGCACAACCAGGAGCTACTCCTGCATAACCGCAAGGAGATGAAGAGGTCAGGAATACCGCTGTACCAAAAAAAAAAACTGCGCAAGAGGTTCAGCATGACATATTGTGAGAGTTTGAACCTGACAAAATAAGTCTTTTTGGTCCCCTGCAGGTCTAACATGAAACAGCTGTTAAAGACAGTTGAAAGTGGGATTAAAGCGAACAACATCGGCTCGCCGTACCCTTGCAGCAGTGCAATGCTGTGAGTTTCTTTTTAATTTGTTAACTAGCTAGTGGTGCTATCTGTCTCCAATGTCATCCTACAAGTTAGCACATAGTAGGTTCATATGTAGTTTGTGCTTTAAAACCCCCTGAAGAATCGGGGTAATGAATCCCCTCATATGAATGATCTATCCCTAACAGAGAACATGCAAACCAGGTGAAGCAGAGCAAGCAGTGTCTCCTGGAGCAGATCCAGTCTCATCGTTTCCAAGCTTGGGAGCGGGACCAGGATTCAGCATCTCATGGTTATGACCCCGAGTGGCCCCCTCAGCTCCAGTTCTTCAGCCCCAACATGGACTCAAGAAACAACAAACAAACAGGTCTGCGCTCACAGGAGTGCCTCATTTTGCCAACAAATGACTACATTGTTGTTTCTGGTTGTCATTTTTCTTCTAGAAGAGCTTATTTGACTGCCAAACAATATTTAAAACAGAATTTGTAATGTTCTAAAACAACAATTTGTCAGTTGTCCTAAGAAAGGAAAGTTGGTAGGAGATGAACTTCTCTTTAAAGTTATCTCCTTTCATTCTTTACAAAGCTACTACCAACATTGAAATACAAAAAAATGTCCTAAATGTAGGATTTTAAGAGGTCTGGCTTTTTGCCCTACATCCAAGTCTTGCTGTTTGGAACAGGAAGAAGAAAATGTAGCATTGACTTGTTCAGTCCACATTTCATCTTAAACACTTTGTTTAAAGCATAATACGCTCTTTTGAGTGCTGCTATAGAAGTCGTTTGCTCAAAGGCACAACAAGCGGACTGCGAAAGTCTAAGTAAAAATGTAAATTATGTGGCAAATGTTAAGCATCCAAGTGAAAACCAAGTGATCCCCAGTCTAAGGTCCGGGCCTCAATGTCTTAGGTGAACAAGACTTGGTACACTCAGAATGATCACATGAGCGTTTGTTTTATGTCTATTTGCTTTAGAGCTCTTTTACATTATTATGTGTAGGTTTTTCATGATTTAACTCTGTGTCAAACATTGATCTATCAGTCAACCAACTTTTGACTTCAGGTCTTGGCAGCATCCCAGAGAGCGAGGGATCTGAGCGGTCCGTGACATGCCATCATCATCTGACCTCCAGACATCCAGACTTCCGTCAGGTTCAACCAGGCTCGGCTCTGGCAGATGCCCTCGGAGAGTTCCTTCTTCCTCCAGACCCACCGGGGATGGAGAGCCTCTACGAAGAGGAGGGAGGCACTCTCCGTGACGACTCCATGTTCGACCGCTGCTCCTCTGCCTCGTCAGATTCCTCCATCGACATCGCCTTCATGAAGTGCCCCAAAGGCCCCTCAGCGTCCCGTCATGCAATGGCGGTGAATGTGTCGGCAACACGCGATGTCTTCGGGAATGGTGGAAGCCAGGGGAACGGTTACAATAAGATGTCCACCAGAGGGTGCGTGTCTCCAGATGAAGCTGTAATGATGCAGCACAATCAGCACCGATCCCTTCAGGCGGGTCAGCGTAAGAGCAAGGTGGGCTGATTTGCGCTAAAGTAAAACGATCCTCAGAAAGTTCCTACATCTGTAAAAATGTTCACTTTCTTTGCTGTACAGTCACTGAATGGCCTGCAGATGGACACCACAGTGAGCCTGGATGGTGGTCAACTGTCAGACCACCTCCACAGGGTGGGACTGGGAAGCCATGCCAAGCTGGAGCGCCAGGGTAGTAAGGGTAGCAGAGGGTGTCCCACGCCATCTCGCAAGGTCCAGAGCCCCCTCGGGAACAGAGCTGATACAGAGAAACAGCACGATGATCTTCAAGGGATGCTCAGCATTGTAGGTGGCAACAAAGAAAAATGTCCAATTTAACTGTTTTTTTAACCTGGAGTGATTAGTATTAAGTACTGGTACGTTGTTTCTAGGACTACTTCCCCCACTTTCTTTCTTAACTTAACAGCAACATGAAATCAAACAATGCCCTCGATGCATTCCTTAGTTGTGCATTTGACTATCTTGGACTATTTGAGATGGAAACATGATTAATGCTACCAAATGTAATCAAATAACCGTAATTGAAGTAAATCAAATATTGCGTTCAACTCCGCCAGGACTCTGGATTCCAGTCATGGGGTGAAGATTCAAAGTGGAGAGGCGGAACGGAGGAGAATAACCACACCCCCTTCAGCGAGAGGAGTCGGAAGCAGGACAAAGGAGGGTTCAGGAGCTCTTTTAAGAAACTGTTCAAGAAGAAGTAAGAATGATAATTTAACAAGGAAATACTCACATGAGTAGTGTCATACTATAGCTGACATCCAGTCATGTCAATGCAGCCACAAGGAACACCAATTCCTTTTAAGGCAGCAAGTGTTGCAGCAAAGTATCGAGAAAATGCTTTAAAGCTCAGTGCAATGTCACTTTGAAGAAACCATATGGACTCAGCTAGATTGAAGAAAATAATTGAACGAGGAAGAAGCCAACTTGTGGAAGAATTTGATCATTTATGAAGGCAGGTTAGCTATCCAATTGTTTTGTTCTGTCAGTATGAGAAACTTTAACACAAATACTGTATTTTTTTAATATATAACATCCTAACTTAGCTTTACTTTTGAGACATATCTATTAAACAATACTGCCAAAGTACTACAAAATGAAAGATTCCAATTGACTCCTGCTTTTCTTTCTCACAGGAGCGGTGAAGAGAAGAAGGGAGGCGAGAAAGCCCCAGAAAACCAAAACAATGGTGAACACGAGACTCCGGGGAAGAATCCGAAACAGGTACATCTGGAGATAAACCGTGGCACAGCTGTATGAGTCCCATTGTACTGCACACACAAACAGTACCACAGACTGATGTGATATAAAGTGTCTTACATTCAGTATCAGTCCAACACACGGTTGATTGTTAAACATTGACAAATGATATATAAATGCTGTACAGGTATTATTCATTAAGCTACGCTACCTTTACTCTGATCATCTCCAAGTATCCAGTTCTCCTTTTTGTGAGAGAAAGAAAAAGTTCATAGTGAGGGAAAGCACTTCAATTGGATCAAATTCAAAAGTTAAGAAAACAGCCAGAGGAGTATTTTTGCTCAGAATAAAAGGAAATGTGAGGTTAAGTTATCAGTGTGTATTTGTACATTTACTTAAAGCTGGTTTGACCTTTTTTAGTTTCCTTTTCCCCCCCACATTACAAGACATGACCACTTGAGGTCATAGTTTGACACTGTCAATCCTCTAACCTTTAAATGGCTCTTCCTTACCTTCTATTTCTGGACTTTTGAAAACTTATCCTACAAATGCATCCCTGTCTACACTTTTAATGAAGGTCACAATATTTGGTAATAACTAGTTGCTTATAAGCATGCTAATAATGAGCAAACTCTCTGCTTATAAGTCATTATAGAACGCATATTAGTACCTTATTCTACATAACCATGCACAGTCTAGAGATAATAAGAAATGAACTCAGAGTCTGCCCTCAACTCTATCCTAATTACTGCTTATTGGTAGTTGTTGTTGAACATGAATGATGATTTTGACATGCTTTGCTTAGTTTGGCCCTTATAAGGTAGAAGTAAGCAAAAACATATTAATGTCATAATTCATGTTCAACAACTTCCTAACTTACTATCATTGAGCAGTAATTAGGAGAGTGTTGAGGGCAAACTCTGAGTTAATTGTCTATTAGCTATAGGCTGTAGTCAAATATAATAAGGTACTAATAAGTGCTTAACAGATAAACAGACAGTATGCTACTTATTAGCTAATAAGCAACTAGTTCATGGTGAATATTCTGACCTTGATTTAAAGTGTTACCAAAACTTTAAAATGAGTGAATTTTTTTCTTGGATTATTACTTTTGCACGTCCCTTGATGGGTTATTCTCTCGTTGTCTTAAGAAACAGCTAGCTTTTGAAATATGATTACTGTTGCTAATTTAAAAAAAAAAAAAATGACCTATTTAAAATGTTCTGACTCTCTTTTCTAGATGTAACTCCAGTTCAACTCTCTATCCATCTGCATCATGTCTTAACCAAAGATGATTATATTGTGTATTATTTACAGAACAGAACAGATATTAAACTGGTATTTGTGTATGTTTTTATGCGTTAAGCATTTTGCTCCAAAGAAAGACAGAATTGAACAGAAGTATTTTGTCAAGAGGTGAATGTGTCAATGAGGAGACAAGAATGCTCAATAAAGGTCCATACTTCAAAAAATAAAGTGCTGTTCAGTGTCTTTGTCCCTAGATGAATCAAATATCACCTAATCATATGCTGGGTCCTCTCTGAGACACAAGATACGCTTTAGCCATATAAACTGAGATTTTACACTATTTTGAATAACTCTTAGAAATGGCAGGACACATCTATGACTATAACTGATCATGCTGATATTGATTCTACATCATGGACATCTTGACATTTGAGAATTTTCCCTAAGATGAGCTTTCCACAGAATACAACAAGAGCAAGAAAGCAATGATGAGCAAAATAAGAATCTAAAGCCATGCTAGCAAATCTGCTGGGCTTTAACACAATAGCTTTTTTTTTTTAGCAAAGCAAGCTATGCTAAGTAGGCCTATTGTTCGCCATCTCAGCATGTTAGCATGCTAGCACTTGTATTCATTTCTAGGACTATTCACAAAAGACAGCTTGGGAAATCTAAAATGCTTCTCTTCTCATCATTTGTATCATATAAGCAGAAACATGTCTTAAAAGATCAACTACAACTAAGGCCGTAATGGACCATAAGTCAGAGGACTCTTTGGTATATTCAGAAAAAGTTTGAGTGCTACTGGTTCAAGGTAAAATAACACAACATTGATCACATATTCTACTTAAAGCTTTACTAATGAAAGGTTAATGTTGCTTCTGTTAATTAAAAATATGGAGATTGGAAAAGCCTCAATGAATAAAAAGTGGTTCTTAGAACTTAACTTGTAGATGGTGTTGGTTGAACTTGAAATGTTTTTCTGAAACTGGATGACTAAACTGAACTCAGGTTCACATCAGTATTAAAGTACCAATTATCTTTCTAAAACTGTTCTTTTGAAACACACATACATGAATTTGGAGATGACAAATCTTCAGTAGACATTTTCCAAAGTATGCAAAGCCCAGCTCTGTTGTTTTTGTGTTTATATTTGTATTTTACATTATATATATATATTTTTAATCTTATTCTATTTGAGTGCACTGTCAATGGGAGCACTGCTGTTTTATAACGCCTTCATATTTTTTCACCAGTCCTTTACTAATTGTTTTGCACCAGAACACTATGTCAAATTCATTGTATGTGTAAATGTACTTGGCGATAAAAGACGATTCTGATTGTAAGAGAGCAAGTGTACGAGTGGCAGGGTTCTCAAAGAAAGCAGGAAATCAGAGCAGCTCATCATACTACCACCATCGTTTATTTAATATAACGTGTGCTTTTATTTCTGTGATGTGCCAAGATGTCTGCCATTAAAAAGGCCCTTTAGAAATAACCAACTCAGGAAAACAAATGGCTGATATCCTTCTTTTTAATGTGTTAACCTGTCATCTCATAAATCTGTTACACTTCTGAACCAAAATATAGGCAATTATACAGTATGTAAAACAAACCCATTTTTATTTTACAATATATACAGTTCATAACGTGTGCATTGCATTATGAAAACAAAAGACAAAAAAAGTGATGTAATAGCGACAGAACAGAGGAGACTTATTTTGTGTTATTGTTATTTACCCGGAGTAGGCCTGGGCTAGAACAGCGTCTGCATATAACTCGTCAGGGTAACTTTAATCTGGATGGAGCACAAGATTCATCAGGTTCACCACATGTAGACAAGAACAAGCAATCTCTGAAAAACCATTTCATTGCCAATTTTTTGTGACTGTCAACACATATATGGTGCCCACAGCGTAAAACAATGCCTATGATTTATGTTTCACTCATGGTTTAATTTAATAGCAGTTAAAATAAAATAAAAAAAAACAGACTCTTTAATTTTTCTGTAAAACCCACCAAGAGTAACCATGTTGGCACCGGCGTTAGAGGACAACAGATGCAACTGGAGTCTATTATTGAAGCATTATCACAGAGCGTCATGCTATCCTGCGGAACACTTTTGTGTTGCTGCAAAACGGACAAATTGCACCAAAACCAAAAGGAAAAGAAATCAATACAGATTACAAGCAGATTGTTATTTCTGTAACAAAAACCTTTAAATGTGAATGTTCACAGGAGCTAACCTTAACCATGTGCGCTGTTGATGGCTGTCTTTTGAATCAAACTATTTTTTTCATTAAGTAGGACTTACCACCAGGTTAACTATCTAAACTTGGCCATCACTATTTTCCACAACATAATTTGGCATCTTATTTCCTAATTAAATGTTGCGTCAAGCCGCTGAAATGTTAAGAAAGGAGAGAACATTTTCACAACGAAATATGACCCGGTAACGTGTTTGGTAAGGCATGATATTACAACTAGTAGAATGGCAAGTGACCAATCAAATTCAATAAATCAAGCTTTTATATGACACATGATTAATAGACATAATGGCTGATGATGCCAGTCTTAGGCTTGGTAGTATACTTGCAGAACTATTGTTTGGACACTGAGAGAACAAATTCTTGGAAAATGTTTTTGGTTGCAGTCCTGAATCTATGACACCATGTTGGCTAAGTAGCAGATTAATGAGCAGGGTTTGGCTAAATCACACGTCTGTGGTAGTAAATTCAATTATAAGGCAGTTGAAAATAATGCTAAAAAATACATTGTTTGCTTTTTCTACAGTTTTACATTTAGATGCTTTTAAAAGCATTTTAAGGTCTATGGTTACTTTTGAGTAAGTTTGATATTCTCTGCATGGCAGTTTGAAATAGTTTCCCTCCGTGCATGACACATTTCATGATCTCGGTGCTCTCCAGATCTTACCAGAAGAGTTCAACCTATTTGACATCTAACTCTGCTATGGCTGATATATGGCGTATTACAAGTCCTATAAAGGGAACAATATTAGGAAAGTTTCCACTCCTAGCTTACTACAGGGCAATCAAGTTTAGCATCTTTAGCTCTTGTATGTTTGGTATGCATGTTGTTTGTTTTCCAGGTGCAAAGTGACATTCAATGGGCATTTTCAAAATAAAAGTGTTCACAGAGGAAGAGAAATAATGTTCATCCTCCCAGTGGATTCAAGCTCTTTACACTTACTAAACTATGCTTATTCAGCTACTTGCACTAAAGTATCAGGAGCTGATCTGGGGCGGGAGGATGACTAATAAAAAATAAAACTCATGAAAACACGATGAAAATGTATGTGGGGGGGGGCAATGCTGTGTTTCCTGTCAATGGATGTTTAGAGAGAGGGCATGCTTCCTTGTTGGGTGTGAGAAAAATAAATCAAACATAACCTAATGAAGGTTTGATGGGAGGTCAGCAGGAATATAAAGCTGTTACATTCTCTTAAAGAAGTCCCCCAACATAGTGAAATATTCCTATAACAACCCAACACTTCGACAGAGAGCCAAAATGTTGAAATAGATCAAACATTGGCTTGACTTAACGTTACCCACTAATCATTGCCCTATCAGTACGTTAATGGTCTTTGCTGCAGCTGTTGATCTGATGAAATCATGCGTCATGTGGAGAGCAGGTAGTAAACCTCTCCAGCAGTCTTGTGTGTTTTCATTAATCTCATTGTTCTGTTCTAAGCTGGATAATTAACAAATGAGGGATTGACATCTTAGGAAGAATGAACCCAAAAAACTTCAGCCCTGTAAGTAATGGTGTCTCTAAACTAGTGTTGTAGGCCTTTAAAGCCCCTCCCCCCCTCCCCCCCGTGTTACAGCTTGTAAAGACTGGTAGTGTACTGCCACATGTAGACTCCTACACACCACAGAGTGCATATTATCTACATGCATGAGGTCATCTTTCATACAGATGTCGGCCTTTAAACAAGTCACAGCAACTAAGGTTGTTAAAAATGAGACTAAAATTAATTAAAATAGTTTGGACTTGCACAGAAATGTAATTCCCAACGCATTTCTTGGCTTGCGTATGTTCTAATAGTGTCGCTCAAAGTTTAAATAACATGTTCTTTCTGAAACAGTAGAACTATATATAAAGTTTTCTATTCGTTTTAAGCTCATACAGGCTCATCAACAAGCTGTTCGATTGGCATTAAACAACTGTGGCATATTTAAGAGTTTGCAGATGTTCAGTGCAACAAAACAGATGTTTTTTTTAACAGCATATTATCACTGTGCACACAGAAGTACCCAGAATGTTGTTTTAGCTTATTATGAACCTCTCATGGGAATCCCTTTTTTCTTTTGAAGGATATTAGCGCTGTAGTTAGCTAAGAATGGGAGTTTTAAGTTCTTATTGTACTCTTTACATTATGATCTGTTGTATCTGCCCCATTTTAACAATTTGATGTAGCTACTTTAACAGAACAGGTCATGAATCGTGAATATGTTGCATACTCCAGACGTGGAATTCGTTAGAGGTTAAATTTAATGGCAGAAATCGTGGCTGAAAGTTAAAATCAACAAAGTGTTCTGGATAAATATAAAATAAAATCTTTCTGTGTAAATCCAGCTTTTTTTTCTTGTTGGACATCAGGCAGAAATAAAACTGTTACTTGTTTAAGACCGGATCTGTACATGATGCACTTAGTATGTGCATAACTCTATGTCTAGACACACACACACATACCTACACACTGTGCATACACACACAGGGTCATATATTATAATGACGTCACATTTGTTTGTCAAATACCATTTTCTCTGTGCAAAATTTTAACACCAGTGGTTCGATAAAGAAAAGTATTAAATGAAAAAAAAAAAAAAAACTTTCTGATTAAAATAGAATTTAAAAAAACAAAACAAAAAATGATGTCAAAAAGTGAGGGAAAAAAAAAACGGAAAACGACTGGAACTTACTGACGTCTGCAGCCGTGACGACGTGCAGAATGTGCAGGCGGTTTGAGGGTGAGTCATGCTTTAAGAAAATGATCAATCGGTGCTGCTTGCTGTGTCTGCTCAGGTCATTCCTGAGCTCCAGATTGTTATTAGAGTAGTATCATGTTACCTAAGCTGTCCACCTGAGGAGACTGCAGGGGTGGGGGGGGGGGAGTTCTTGACTCTCGTCACATGTTCATGGAAGTGAATCTACAGCCCCGTAACTCTTCCATGCCCGCCTTGTCTCACTGTCGGTCTCCACAGATGTACAGAGCGACTATACACACACCTATCTACATGACCAGTCTTTTAGTGTTTGGCTCTGTCAAAAAATACTACATTTATATTTACAACAATTAAATAGAGGTCAATTAAGCACTTGTGTGGTGTGGTGACGGGTATTGGAATTCATTGCTAGCAGAGGTGGCAAAGCTTTTTAGTCTTTTTTTTTTTCTTCTCTTTATCCTTAAAAAAAAAAAAAAAAAAAAAATCAAATGAAACAGGTGAGCCATCCTGTTCGCTAAAGTTACATCATGCCACAATAAATAAAAGTGTAGTTTAAAAAATATGGGAGAGAAGGGAAGAAGAAGAGGAGGAAGACACGAATAGATGATGAAGGACAGATTTTCCTGTGCAAGGTGGCCCTTCTGTAAAGCTTTAGCACAATTAGCAGTAGCAGTAGTAGTTGTAGTATGTGTACAAGAAGTAGTAGAAGTAGTGTTGAAGTCAGACTTCTGTGCTGGAAGCCGTTTTTTTTTTCCCAGTGTGCAGTGTGCAGGGGAGGGTATCAGGAAGGATTCTGGGTACAGACCAGCAGTTTTAAACCTCACTGTGTCAGATAAGTGTCGACAACCCGCTGCTCTACTACAACACGCTTAGCTAGTACACATGTAACACTGTGGTTTATTTTAATGTCTGCACCTGGGAGTCCACATCGGCGCCCACGAACAGCTCCCTCATCTCCCAGTTAAATGGCCGACAGGAGTTTTTGGGTTGGGTAAGCGGTAAGACTGGGCTGACTGTATCTTCGAGTTGCTCAACCCCCTTGTCTGCATTAGTGGCTGCTTAGAGAGTGTGTTTTTTGTGTTCGTGAGTCTCAGTAGCTGTTCTCATGACCTGCCAGGATGTAAAGGTTGCTGTGGGCTGTAGGGTTGTCCGTAGGCCTGCTCTCCAGCACCACCACCCTGCAACACAAAACAGGCAAAAAAACACAAAAAAAAAAACGACATCAGGTTTGGTTTGGAGGGACGGTAACACAAAACAGCATTTTAAATCCCAGCGCTGGTGTTAGTTTGTTCTGATGAAAACAAATACAACATAGAGGAACAAGAAGTGTAAAGACACAGACTTTTGTGAGTAATATGTATAAAAAAAAAAAACACCACCAGCAACCCTGAGGATACAGTCGGATCCTGTAAAAGCCCTGTTATTTGGAATAAGGCAGCAGAGGAGGATAACTTGCTTGGACATAAAGCATTTCACAAAGTTTTCTTGTTTGCCCTGAGGACGGTGAGAAAGCTGTTAATACTGTTTTAAAAAGGGACCCATAGACTCAGACATTCAACCGTTATAACTCTGAGGGACTCAGCTGTTCAGTAATGACACAATAAACACCAAAAGAGGTTAAAAAATAACCTGATTTGTTTTGTTTTGTTTTTCTGGTGTTTCACCAATCATGTATACAAAACCGATAGATTTTTACTGATATATATGTAAATGCAGACAAGGATCATTTTGGTGTCTATGCAGTCATGACTCAACAGGTTTTATCCCCCAGCCCTTTGCAGAGTGTCCTATGACACTTTTTTTCCTCTCCCTTTCTCAGACAGTCTTGTGACATCTGGCGTCAAGCAGATCTAGAGCGTCCCGACAGATTAAGAGGCAGCATTTTCAATGAGCAGTGAGTGTACCTGGGCAGAGTGAGGCCTCTTTCCTCCGCCCCCGGATCTATACCGTCAGCACGTCTTCAGTGATAAGACATCAGAGAGGATGTTAAAAAAAAAAAGACCTATGTGCATGTGTATTTTTAAAAGAAGTGAAGGAGAAGTGGATGTGCGCTTTCTCACCTGTCTGATCCCAGTAGTCTAAAGATGCGTGTGCTGTCGGAGATCTCTTGGGTGATCTGATGCGGAAAAAAGAAAAGTAGAAAAAGAGTTGAGGCTAGCTTGCCAGGACAAACCAAGCCAAACACCTTGATGCATGATTACTACATTTAATACACTGTGGGGAAGTATAATATGAGTGCTCTGATTAATGTGGTTACTAACTCAATAAGTGTGATAGTTATAACAAAATGTGTGGTCTGTTGTCTTTGAAAACAAGTGAAAGATGTTAAATTACAGCTGACTGTCTGCTATTTTGAAAAGGTTTATTCTGGGCGTCACTGTGTGTGAAATGATGACCCTCTCGTACGCTCAAAAACTATAGATTTAAAGAACACAAAACAAATGGACCTCTTCTTGAGTGGGCACAAACACACAGACAAATAGAGGGTCAGTCTCACCTCGTTGGTCTTGAAACTCCGCCCCTGCATGCCATGCCTCCAGAAGGCTAGTACACTATCCTGAAGACAAACTGCAAGCAAACAGGTATAAACAATATGAATGATCTCTATGGATTACAAATGAGCATGCGATGTAAGATTAACTAGGAGACATACAGGAAATGTGAAGATCCTTAAATGATGGGAAATATCAGTCATTTCAGATGTGTCCCCAAGTTGTGCTGTCTCCATTTTCATATTATTTACTATATTCATGTAATTGTAAATTCAACTATTTTTACCTGTTGATTCGATCTGGAAGTTGAAGGTGAGCTCAGCTGACAACTTCCTACTGGATTTTAACCTGCCCTGGAGGTTCACTATCTTTATACACCCTGGAGAGAGACAGAGAGAAAGAGAGAGAGAGAGAAAGAGAATAGAGAGAGAATTAAAACCTCTTCAATCTGACCTGGGCGAGCTGAAGCTGCACAGTGCAGGAACACAGTCATCACTCACTGTCGAGGCAGACTAGAATAGTGTCCCTCTCTAGCTGGGTGACGTGGATCACACACGTCTGTGGTGTGTCTGCAGAGAGGAAGAGGAGAGCAGAGTATTTTTTTTTTATTTGCCCAACAACAACAACATCAGAACAGGAGAAGTGTTGCTTGTTTAACAGAAGACACAGAAGACACACACACACACAAAAAAAAAAGGGCCACGCTGTTGTCACCTGCTTCTGTGAACCACGAGGAGGTAGAGTTGGGGTTGACGGTGCCAAACTTAACCACCTGGTTGAGTTCCGTGCCTTTACTGACCGCCACGCAGATCAGAGGGTAGGTCTGCTCCGGCACCACCAACATCTCAAAGACCTCCAGTGGACAGGGCAACGGGAAGTCGATGTTCTGTTGAGGGGGGAGATGAGAGTTGGGAAGGTAATGTGTCAGGTAACTTAAAGGATCCCCCCAGTAAATGTAAGTAATCAGTACTTTCAGCTCTACAAATAGACACAGGAGGTGCTTTTGACAGAAACAAGATTTATAAAGCAAAGAAATCTTCCTAAAAACACAGGCTGTTAGTGCAGTAGCTAGCACTAGAGTTTAGAGTAGGTAGGTATGCTGACACATTAGCTGAATAGTCTACTTACAGACGTTTTAAAATAGTTTGAGTGCATTAGAACAACCTTAGAAAACGTGCCTGTACACTTATATTTAAACTCTCAGACAAGGAAACACAAAGAAGTTTAAAGCACAATAACGGACCTTGATGAGCATAAACTTCTGCATGGACTCCACCCACTCCAACAGCATGACACTGGACTGAAAGGCTCCACACAGGTACTTATGGCCTGTGTACGGGTTACGGACTGAAAGAAAACAACACCAGGGATCAGTTTACATGTATTCATCCTGTGGCTTCAAACGTTTAGGTTAAATAATTCAGTGCTGTGATAATGACATTCTGCATGTGTTTGTTACTTTAAACATGACAGCTAAGAAAAGTCAGTGTTGAGCTGAGACTTCTCTGACACTCACCTACACAGCACTTTTGGCACCCTTTAGTGTCTGGAATTTTATTAGACACAGCAAACTTTCTATAAACAGAAAACAAAGAAAACAGTCAGTCAAAAAAGGCTTTTGTGATAAAGTCAACATCATGTTCAAACTGAAATTAAGGTTCTGATGTCCTTCAACGTTATTTCCATTTTTTTTACGAGACAGAAAAGTCAGAAATCAAAGTGAAGGATTACAAATGAGATCATAATACTGTGATTATTTGTACGATGGATAAGTGTGACCTCCCATTTGGGAGAGTTACCTGGGAATCATCTTATCAGGCAGCTTGTGTGTGGGAATGGCTACTGGTAACTTCTGTAACTGTCTGGCCTGCTCAAACAGACCGCTCAGAGTATGAGAGTACAGCTGAGAGGCTTTGCCTGGAAGACAAGAAGGAGAGAATTGTATAAATTTTTAAAAAAAATAACACATGAGAAAGGAAGAGACCAAAAGTGGAGAGAGAGTATTTTAAGTATAATCAATTTATAAAGACAACTTCGAAATGATTCCATCCCACAGATATGCTATAACTCACCGGATATGGAGAGAAGACAGTTGTTCATGACGTATAGCCAGGTACACCGCCGAGGGAAGAGCTGCAGACACAAACAAGATGAAGAGAGAAGAGAAATGAAGGAAACGAGCAACATGACAAAACTAGACTCAATCATTTCTGCAGATTTAAAGGTAGGATCATTTGGATTGATTTTTAAACTGTGGTTTTCTTTTAAATTAAAACATAAATAAATACATTGTCAAATACGTATACAACTACCACCATAACATAAATTCCCGACCATCTTCAAATCCATGAGCTCTAGTCTCACCTGTTCCATCGAGGTCTCGTGCAGTTCATTAAGGTTTAATGTGTAGATTCCCTCTTCAGCTCCAAATATCAAATACTGGTCTGAAACGCACACAAAAAACAAAAATGATTCCATTATTCATCTTGTTTAGATTGAAACTAGTGACGACATCTTTGTTCACATTGTGACTTCATGTTCAACACGGTATCTGCTTGCTGTACGGATACCTCTGGTGTCGGGATTGATCCAGGATGTCGCGCAGTGGATCTTCAAAGGACAACCGTTGAACACCTTGGAGAAACATGCACCCATCTGCAAACGAGAGAACACGACACATTCATGAGCGGTACAATAATATGCAAGTAACATAAAGGTCATACAACCTGTCTTTTCTAAATGAGAATAGAAGGAGTCTGTTACTTACATGAACTTTAGGTGTTGGTGGGAGTCCATTACTGATCGGCTTCTAGGACAGATGGATTAACACACACACATACACACACATACTGTCAGTAGGCACTCTGTTATGGATGATCCTTAGAACTCACTGTAACTCTTAAATCTTATTTTTTTTCTGTCAACATAGGTCTTTAATTAACTGTTTATGATCTATTGAGGTCCTTGAGCAGAGAGTCAATCAATCAATATTTTTTTATTTGTATAGCATCAACTCAACAAGTGTTATCTCTAGACACTTTACAAAAAGCAGGTAAAAGACCTTACTCATTGTTATATTACAAAGACCCGGCTTAATCCATCATGAGCACTTTAGCAAAGCAGCAAAAGTTACAGTGGTAAGAAAAAACTGCCTTATTAAAAGGCAGAACTCTTTAGGCTGGAAACCAGGCTCATGACGAAACAGCCTTAGACTAGACTGCGCCGTGCTTGAAAAAGGGACAGCGGGAGATGGGATAAGATGCAGGAAGAGGGATACGAGACCGTGGGGAGTTTGGGGGGGGTTGTTGTTCAGGCAGTCTGTCTAGCAACAATCCCGAGGGGAGGGGCGGTGGTGTTACAGAAGTGTTAACAACATCTACGGTTTGTAAAGGGAAGGCAATGGGAAAAGCCCCAACACTGTACCTGAACTCTTTCTAAATGCCTGCATAGGGCACTCCAATAATTTTCATTTTTTTCTAAAACTCTACTTAATCACTTCATTCACGACGCCTGTAAACATATTTCAAAGCATGTGATTTCATTAGTTAGTTTCAAGTCTGCTTCACTGTAACGTGATCATGATGTTGTAAATAATAATCCCAGTTTAGAGTAAAACAGATGACAAAGCATGGTATACGTAAGGGTGTGACTTCCTTGTGATGGACAAGTTGCTACCATGGCATAATGTGAATCAGAACAAAGTTTGCCATGACTGAAGAGGTAAGTGTGCTTACCGGAGCGACGTCCTTCTTGTCTTTCCGTATGGGGACGCTAGGGGGCATAGTGGACTGCCTTTCTGCTGGACTGTCCCTCTCTCCAGTATGTGGAGAACTCAAGCCATTACCTACAATGACAAAGACACAACTTAATGAGTGAACGTGAAGAAGAAGAATTGGACACATAAAGAGAGAGCGCGGAAATACTAAACTGTGTTTAAGAAGTGAAAAGACTCAGCAGCAGAACACACTGCAACTACAGTCCACTCAAACTGACTCTTCTTCATCAACATTTGTTTGGGTGAGTACAATCTAATCTGCAGGACTGAAAGCACAGTGAGATCAACTTGAACAGTAACAGACACACTACTGGGAGCAGAGAGGGAGGGAAGAAGGGAGCAGGCTAGCAGGAAGAACACAGAGGATCAAATATAGTCATGAGCGGAGGGGAGGTGTTAATGCACCACAAACAACCTGCCTGCCAGATGGTGACCTGTATTATGACTTGTATGTTTGTCCACTTTTATACTCTGAGCGGTCCGCCCAGGTACAGTGTCATTCTGTGGGAAACACTGCTGTCCGTCCTACTTTGTTAAAAGTATATTGAAAAAACTTTACAATTATTACTTTTTGTGGCAGCTAGCCCCTCTGGAACCTTTCTGCACACAGCCCATCTCCACCAAAGCTTTCCTGTTGAGGACTTGACACTACAAAACTTTACTTTCCAGATTCTCAACTTGATTGATTTTTTTTTTTAATGTAACTACAACTAACCAAACCTTCTGTTGTTTTTACTAATCTTTATGGTTTTACAAAAAAAAATACAAAGTTAACAGCTCCAAATGAGAACTCTCAGTCATTCTTGTTAGCAAACAGGTTAACCAAAATACACCTTATAAAAATGACATGTGGTCAAGAATATAAGGATATATATATTTCAACTCAAAAGCAAAACTTTACTTCAAACTTTGAACGCTCTCATGTGATATCACATGTCTCCTCTCTCTCCTGTATAAGTCTGATTAGCCAGGACGATGTTTTCTCCTCTTCCTTCTTACTCCGAGGAAGCGAAGGGGAGTGATAGCAGACAACCAGCTCTTGATTGATTGTTTAGTCCAACCAATCACACTTGACAAAAAGATGACAGACACTTATATTGATCAGGAGCTGATGGACAGAGGGAGCTACAAACAAAAAAGAATGTAAAAAGCGCTGTTATTAACGGACTCATGGAACAAAGAAATCAGACTACAAGGACCGACTAATGGGAGACAACCAATCGGAGGGGACGACAGGGTCTGCGGACACTACCAATCTATCAAGTTTGCTGCTCTTACTCTCTTCCTTTTCCTCCTCTTTTTCCTGCTCCTCTTTCACCTCCTTCAGCACCTCCCATGCCTCCTCCAGCTCCTCCTCTGTGTGAGGCGTGTGGAGCCACTCCCAGAAATGTCTAAAGCTCCCATCATCCTCTGGGGCAGAGTTTTCCACGTCCGTGCACTTGGGGCTCTCGTTACCTAGGCTACTGCGGCGGTGGGGTGGCAGCTTCGGGGGCGGGGGTCGCGGGGGGACATTGGAGGCTGCCTTTGCCGGGCTCGACGTCTCCGGGACTGGGCAGCGTTTGATGGTACCTCCCCCTCCGCCGTCGTCCTCACTGTGTGATTGGCTCTCGTCGTGTTTTTGTTGCTGTTGGGACGTGGTGGACGCGATGGACTTGGGCTGAAAGACAATACAGACGAGGACAAACAGTGAGCAGATTTCTCATATCCAAGAAAACATGTTCGAAAAATGACACAACTGATATATAAAATGAGTCCTCAACAGAGAAATCTTCCACTGAGCCTGAGGGATGTACTCAGTTGTTTATACCTTGGGAGGAAGTGGAGGCGGGACCTTTGGCCTCATGATGGTGCTGGATTTACTGAAAAATTAAGAACGCAGGAGATTTGAGAATTTGCATCTTAAAACACTCAAGAGTGACACTAAAAAGTATTCAACACACCCATCGACATGTGACAACTGATGCTATGGTTTAACTTTCCATTTCAGAACAAGTTACTGATCATAAAAGGCAGATTCTGTGCCGTCACATATTTTATTATCTATACTTCATTGTGTTATACTCTTTAACCAATAAAGGTTCAAATTACGTATGTCTATTTCTAAAAATGTAAAAATCTGATTCATTCTAATAATGAAGTGGAAACCCGTGTTGTGCAGTCAGACAAGACTGGGTGTGGTCCTGTATGTTATGGGCTGATCAGATAATACATTCTGAAATGAAGAGGTTAACCATAGCCTGATATTTGACAGTGAGACACACACACACACACTTAATAAACACACACACGCACGAGGGAACTGCTCTAACCATTTAAAACAAAGTGAGACACACACGAGAGATGGTCAAGACAAACTACAAACAGAGCATGAGTAAAGTCTCTGAAAATAGTTGTGCTGAAAGTTACTTTTGTTTGTTAATTTAAGCACTATGCTAAATTTCCGAGTTCACCAGCACCATATTCACAGAGACTTTATCCATCTTGCCTAATGAACTGCAGAGTTCTAGCACCACATGTAAAAGAATGACAAGACAAAGAACCAATCATAGCACACACATAAAAACTAATAGAGGCTGAATGAGAAAGTACAGGACACTAACAAAGTCCTCTGTGTTAAATGGCAGTCAACAGGTTAAGGGCCTGAATGGAATCAGTTAGATCTGAACAGTGAGTGTGATGGTTTAAGGGAAGAATAACAACTATGTTGGTTAATGTAGCGTGGTGGTGGGCGGAAATTGTGATGAAAAACCTCATTCAGTTCAGGATCAATTGACTGTGTGTTAAGATATCAGTTATATGATATCAATGGTTACACAAAATAGGGACATTGGCAAAAAAAACAAGTTTATCTACAAAGTAAGCACAAACCCATTGATCCTATGCTGACAACTTGAAAGGTGAAATGGAGAAGGAACCTGAAGATGACTACTTTGCGGAGCTGCTTCAATATGAGTCAAGACTTTATTCAAAGTAAAATATGACTTTTCTTTTGACAGTGAGAGCTTATTTATATTACCATGAACATGCTAGCTACAACATGTAGTCAGCAAGCATAACCTAATCTGTAGTTCTAGATTCTGGAGGTTTTTGTAGTCACTCAAATATATATATTTTTTTCATTTTCTTGGGATGTGTAAGTAATTGAGCCTGTCTGACTACAGTGAACAATACATACATGTCTAAGCAAAGAGAAGGCTCTGGTCTGCTGAAGACATTTGGCTTTAACATGATGAGGGATGTGGCTGGATGCCAAATATACAGTATAATAGAAGCAGGAGACGCCAGAAGGCAGCGGGTATGTGCACACACACACACACACACACACACACACACACACACACACCCTGACACAGCAAGGAAGCACACAGATGGCGACACAAGAGGAGAACAAAACAAGACAACAGCAAATGAGATGTCAAGGTCATGAGGATCATTTATCTGAGTACGCAAACTATAGACAGACCTTTGAAGTCATCGGTTCTGAAATATAGATTAGTATGATGTGATTGAGGGCGATGAAATGATGGTATGTATCTGGGATTTAATGTATCAAAAAGATTTTCTCTAATTCAGTGGTGTTCAGCCCTATCCATGGCTAATGCTATCCTCTGTCCCTGGGTATTTAAGTAGGTAAAGTGTAAAAATGACTGGCAAAGAAATCACTAGCAGCCTAGAGGTCAGTTTTAGGGTTAGGGTTCCTGTTAGTAGCTATTAGACTTCACACAAGACAATATTAATGGCATAGAAAACACACACAAACACAGGTGGCGTATGTGGCGTGATGGCGGGGTGTGCTGCAAAGAGATGCATCGATGAAACTTTGGCTAATACAGGAAGCCTTCCCCCCTTGTCTTCCTCACCCCTTCCTCTTTGATACATGGGAGGAACGGGTGATGAATTAAAATAAAAAGACAAAGAGCGAGAGGCTTCCAGCTCTGAGACTGGGAGAGAACTTACTGAGTGTGAGTTTCATCATCATCTGCACCATCATCATCCTCATCCTCATCATCCCCTAAGTGTGCCACATGGCCCCTGGGAGAGGAGGTGAAGATAGGAGGAGGAGGAGGAGGGGAGGGGAAGGAGGGGGAGAAAGGGGAAAAGGGTTGAGGTAAGGGGAGCATAAGAGGGGGGAAGTTAAGGGAGAGAGGGAGCAAGCAAAGGTGAGAACAGGAGGAGGAGGAGGAGAGAGGGAGGAGGGGAAAGGGGAGGGAGAGCTGAGTGAAGCTCGGTCCACAAACTACCTCTAACCCTTGAACCAGATCTGAAAGGACTGAACAGATCCAAATTAAAAAGATTTTTCCTCCTCCCGCCAAAATAAAGGTCCTGTGATAAATACAGAACCAAAACAGCCATCGCTTCGAATTTAAACAGTTCAAACCTGTACAGTCCTTGCAGATCTTACCACAACACAATCTCTAATCAATCGTAGCTACTTACACACAATGAATACCCTCTAAATCCTGAAGTATATATCAAACATCATTATTTTAAACTGGCTTTTAAGGGGAACACTACATTTAAAACCTTATCATGTTTAAGAAAGACTTCTTCCTGTTTTCTAAGCAACAACAGTAGCTCATTTTTAGATGATAATCTTCATCTACATTACCACATCATTCATTCTATAATCACAATTCTATAATTAATTCTATAATACTGTTTTTTAATCACTGATTCGTTTTTCTTCTGTTTCCCTCTACTTATTAGTGTTGAGATCTGGCTAAAGAAATAAAAGATCTGGGCAGGAAGCTATTATGTAAGCTTATATTCAGCACCTGCCATTACTTAAGAAATATCTGAGATTGGACAGGCTTTTCATCGTGGGTATGAATCCTCCTTCCCTCCTTTCTTTCTTTATTAAGGACAATTTAGCAATAAAGTGAATTTCATGGAAACCTCCATTCAAAGTTAAATTATAAGTCGTTATAAATGCATTCTGTCCTGTAAGAATGTTATATTTCCTACAGTAATTTCTCCCTTCAGTAAAGACATCCTTAGCCTTACAGCTAAAAATGTGTTGTGTTAAAAAAAGGAAACTAGAAAAGGCCTCGGCCATACCTGGGTCTGAAAGACTCTGTAAACAAATTGTTGTTTATTTCTTCTTAGACATACCACATAAGATAAATAAACATAGATGGCTAAATTAGAATAAATCAGTCAAACACTTTTCAGGTAGCGTTTCTTACATTTTGCAACACCTCGTAACTGCATAGTGAACATGAACTTATTTGAACAATGTCTGTTAACCCTGACTGACTGTTACTACTATATGCTCTACTACCAATTCATTGTAATATTGTACTACAGTACTTATTCATCTGTTAACCTAAGGATACTGAAAGGGATACTGAGAAATTTGAATGCCAACGACTACATTCTACAGGCCAAACAATGCTTCAGTAGATCTGGTTTATACATGGAGGGGAATCAAAGTGTCAGGTTTTTAAAAAGGGGACGTTAAGAGCACCTAATGACTGTAAATGAATGTGAGGACTCTACAGTATCTAATAATGGACACGACAATTACTCTTTAAAACATTTGCTGTGTCAGATAATCTCAGAGAAAATAGCAAAACACAAGGATGTGATCATCGTTGTCTTTTCGGGAAGTAAGAAGAAAACCTCCTGAGACTTGCCGGTAAATTTGCTTAAGACACCAACTGCAGCTTTGGCTAATGATCTGTGTACACGTGCATATGTGTGTGTGTGTGCGCATGTGTTTGTGTGTGTGTGTGTTAAGCCATGCTCTGCAGGAAGCTCCTTTGAAGCACAGCGCTCCCCTGATAACATCAAAAGCGTGAAGCAAGCCGCAGAGGGAAATTAAGACCCACAAGAATCCCCAAAGTGTTGATAGGCGTCACAGCCTGAAGTCATTACAGCAGCGTTAGTTACTAGTGATTGGCCCCAGGTTAGTCCTGCCATTAATAATGATTGGCTGATGGGACGGCGTGGTTAGAACACCAGCGAATCAAGAGGCCCTGGGTGAATCAGGACGTGAGAGCGGTCTGACCTACCTCTGCTGCAGCTCCTCCTCCACAGATTTGAGAAGACTCCTGTTTGACAGACAAAGAGAAGAGAAATGAATGAATGATGGAATAAAGATGAGAAGAAACACACTTATATATGATTTCTGAATTCGTTCAAAATGACTGCAAATACATGTCTAGAAAAATCTCTTTTAATCCTTGATAGACAGTTGAGAACAATTCTGCAGCACTGATCTGAACCTCAGCTTTCTGCTTACAGAAACACGGAGAACACGGAAAATCAAACACACAGCTTAAAAAACATCCTCAGACTGCAATTATGAATAAATCATCAAAACTACCCCTATCTCAAGCAGTAGATAATAGAATGTGACATTTTCTCTTTTTTTTGCATGAGAGATATAAATAAAAAAGACAAAGATGTAGATACAACGGCGCCTGAAATCTTCTTGATCTGGTTTTTCATACATCCACCTCACAGAGGGAGACTATCATTTTTACAAATACTGTATATCCCTCTGGTGCTACTTGCGTCAGCTCACTCGCACCTTCTGCAGAAAAAATACTGGGGGGCTGGCGGGAGAAACTCCAGATGAAGTTCAAGTGAATATTTCCTCTGTTTGTGTTCACACATGCAGCTCACCCCTAAAACTAGTTTTTTGGTAGTTTTGTGCAAATGTGAAATCACTACAAGAAAGCGACAGAAGCTTTGAAACTTCAAGACGAGACCTACTTGTTTCCTCCCAGTAGACTTGGTGAGTCGTGGCCATACTCCAACTGCAATTCCTACAAGACAAAGAGTAACATTACAGCTGTGTCACAATACATACTGATGATGGATTCATTTGCAAATGTGTCATTTATTTGATTTCTCCAAAGAGAAACAAGGCGGAAGATCCAAGCCAAGTGCCAAAATATATCACACTTAAATAGTGACTACAACTGAAAGCATGCTCAATTGATAAATGACTAGAGGTGCTGTGGCTGTTAGAGCAGCCTGCTGGTGATGATAAGACCCCTGATTTGACAGAAATGTCACCTTAAATTTAAAACAATACCACAGACAAACACAGAGGATAAAAAGAGTCAGTGTTTATGGCTAAGTTTGTGTGTTTATGGCTAAGTTTGTGTGCGTTTACTCTTGCTGAGTTCACATTGTGGCCTAACATTTTTAAATAATAATGGAGGTGTTTTAAATGTAATTTCCCTCTCGTCCTCATTTTAGATATTTTTTAAAGTGTGATATGTGCAGGTTGGCTAATATAACATTTTTACCTAATAAATTAAAGTTTAAAACCAGGAAAGGAAACTGAATAAATGAGCCAAAACAATGGGCACAAGATATATTTATTTACAACTATTTTTCTGTGTATTGAGTAATTCCTGAATTCCTACTTTATCTTCTTTAGAAGGTGCAGGTTGATACATGTACAGTAAATACCTGCAGGCTTTCTGCTTAGTTTTGTTCAATATTACTTTGCATTTGTTAAAAGTTGGTTTTAAACCAGTTCTACCTTTTTGTCTTGTTACACCATAAAATGAAGCAATGTCTACTAAGACGTGTCATTACAAGTTATGGTCCCTGAGTTCACATGAAGTGACGCAAGTTCAACCTTTGAGGTAGGTTTTAGAATCCAAAGAGAGGGAATATATATATATATACATACACACAGTATTTCTACATGAAAAAAAAACAAGACTTAGGGACAGCCAAAGAATATAAACATTAAAAATGTTTTTAACTGTTGTTGTTTTTCCCCCAAAATCTAGCAAGCAGAGTTTAATCAGTGACAGCTTTTTAGCTAACTTGCCAATTAAGCTAGCCTAAAATCTAACGTAGACCTACTTCACTGTTGACGCCCTAGTTGCTAAATTTTCTATACAAACTTTTAAACTTATGAAACCAAACTATGTGCTCCTATCAACTTCAAAGACAACAGGATGTGAGCCTGTAGCCAAACATGCTAGCAATGGCAGCTACAGTAGGAGTAGCAGCTAAGAGCAGTAGCTCTGTAATAGCTCTTTACTTACAGCCACATGCACACTGTAAAAGGTGTGTGGAAATTCATTGCTCAATAAATTTAAGTCCCACACTGCTTTTTAAACCAGGTATAGCAGATTAAAATGCAGGTTCATAGTAAGCAGCCCTGGTTGAGTTTAGAATACTTATTTTCACTGGAGTAAACCTGGGCTCAATTACATTAAAAAGAGCCACAATGTGAATGCAGCATCATGAAACAATAGTTTAAAAAAAAAGAGAAAGACATAATACAACAAGCACGCAGAGTGAAGCACACATACTGAAGACATCAGACGATCAGATACACACAAACATTGTATTACACACACACACACACACACACACACACACACATACACACATACACACACACACACACACAAACACAAACACAAACACACATGAAAAAGGCCTCATTGGTCTGTTCAACTACTGGACTAGAGGTTAAGGAACATAAAAAAGTATTGAAAAAACACATTTTGCGTTGTATTTTGAATTAAAAGTAAGATATATATATATCAAATAAATCAGGTATAAAACAGCATACTGAAAGGAGTGTATTTTGTAAATTTGAACTTTAGGAGCCAGACTGTCAGTGATCAAACCCAAGTATCCTTGTGCAAAGCACTGCACCACTAACAGATTTTAGACGGTGCAATATCTATTTGTGACCCTGAAATCTATCTTTGTCTATTTTACTCAAGCTTTAGATTTATTACACATTAAAACGTGATTAATAAATGTATTCAAATAGTTTCAATTTTAATGAATTTGCTTGTGTGTGTTGTATGTGTATCTGAAAACAACAACAAGAACAACAACATCACTAAGGACCCTTATCACCATGACAACTACAACACCAGTTAGTGCGGCAAAAGCCAAGGCTGAAAAAAAAAAAAAGAAGAAAAAGGATGTACAGAGACAGATGGGCGGACCACAATAGATGGAACAAAACTGTGAAAATGAACAAAAATACATGTTGGACACTGAGCAGCCAAAACAATCAGCACTCTGGAATATGAAAAAAAAAAAATAATAATAAAAGGAATTATAAAAGAGGCGGCCAGGGCTTGGAAACCAAGAGAGCAAAAGGAAGAACACGGACTTGTCCTTCAGGAGCAGATTAAGATGTGAAGAGAAACATGGAGAAAGTAAAACAGCGGTATAAAAAAGAAGCCAAAGGTTATAGAAATGTAGACGAATTGAAAATTAAAAAGGCCGGTGGAGGAGGACAGAGGGAGCGGCCGAAAGATAGAAAGAGAGAGAGAGAGCGAGAGAGAGAGAGAGAGAGAGAGATAGAAAGAGTACTACCATATTAGATCTGGCGGTATAGTAGAGCTCCTCAACACAGTCCAGATAGGGCTCAGATTCACACTGGTCAGCAAGACAGAGCGAGAGAGACCTCAGTTAATACATTAACCTGGACTGATGGAGGGAATGGGGGGGGAGGGGGTAGGGGAGGAGTGGAGACACGGATGATTGATGAAAAATGGATTAAGGCCAAAATGGGATCTGAAGTCCGTGGATCAGCAAGACAGAGAAGGAGGGAGATGCTGCAATATTAATTTGAAGAGGAGAGGGGATGAATGGGGGTATAGAGTGAGGGAGGGATGGAGTCAAATCGAGGAGTTGGAGGGTTTAAAATGAGGAGGAGAGACACAAATTACATTAAAATCTCGAAGGTTACAAAAAATTGTTAATTTTAGAAGCCTTTTTTTCCTGGGGTATTCTTGGCAGTATTGCTAAAGAATTACGACCGCATGTTACAGTACCTCAATCCAGGATACACAACGTATCTATAGCATAAACTGTAGGTGATATAAATGATATAAACATGCTTAAAGTTAATCCAGCCATTAACTCCTGTCTGGAAATCTTGCTGCCAACTGTTTTTGCAACAGCTTTGAACATGGTAACAACTGTCATCCTGAATGTATGGATCATGTAGAGCTAATAAACAAAAACAAAAAAAAAAACAGACTAATCAGCAAGACAGAGACAAAGTAGACTTTCAAGATTTAGACTGAAGGATAAAGGGGATGAATGAAGAGGTATGACATAAAGACCCTCACTGGTGTCTGTCTCATAACCTTACTCCAGATTAGACGGATTTACATATGGAGGGAGAGAGAGAGGGAAAGTGGAACGCTATTGTGTTGGGACTTTCTAGAAGGTGAGAGGAATACAAGGGTGGTTTGTGGAAAAAGGTGAAAGTGCAAAGGATAGAAAAATAGTTGAAAGAAGTGAGGGAGCGGGGTCTTTATCAAGACGCTGTGGCCATGCATGAAACCTGCACCATCCCATTTATTAACACACTTATTCTAAAGTTTTCAATTCAGATCATCAGGCAACTCAAAAAAAAAAAAAAAAATACAATAACCATGATGTAATGACAAAATCAGGCCCGTAAATACACAGCATCAGAGCTATGTGCTAATGAGTTCACAGTTCTTGTTGTCTCCACTTTCGGCTGTTAATCCAGTTCTGAGTCTTGGTGGCAGTTGCAAGACTTCAAATGTTAGCCAGCATTTACAGGGTTAATGAGACATTCCGTTTCCAAGGTCTCCCCTGATTTGGACAAGACCAGAATATATTCTCAAAGAACCATCCTGGGAGCAACAATGCAAGAGGCCAGAACAATCTTAGCACAAGCCATTCAAAACAAATCAGCAGGGTTCTACTCTGAGCTCCATGTGGACATCTAAGCTCCTCACAATGTCCCTAAAGGAAAGCGCAGACACATTGGAAAAAGATATAAACAGCTTGTGCCCAAGCCTACATTCACATTCAAAGAAACCGGTTTAATGTGAAAAATCTGAATAAGGCCAAACAAGCATGCACGGCAGCATTTTTGAATGCAGCTGGTCGGTTATTTCATTTCATTTCAAGTTGACGCTTAAAGATTTTGATCCATGGCTGGCATAGATTGGACATCACTAATCTACCTTAGTGAATGAACTGAACTTTGTGGATGGGCTTCACGTCTGGTTTGATGCAGATTGACAAAAATCATTGATTGGCTGCTGTGCCTCCCGTGTTTAGGAGTGGATCTGTCATGCTGGTGCAGGCGGAGTGACACCAGCAAACAGACAGTCGTACACACATACACACACACACACACACACACACACACACACACATAAACATACACCTAAGCTAGTAACTCACCGGCTCATGATGAGGTTCTGTCTCCTTTCTCAATGGAGGATCAAACTTCACCTGTCCAACTGAGAAAGATAAAAGAGTCAGAGTCAGAGTAAGGGAGGCAAGAGAGACCAAAAGACAGACTGGAGAATACAGTTCATAGAAAGAATTTAAACACCCTTATGTGAAGTTTCCCTATGTGCAATTTTTCTGCCTGAAAATGTTTTTGTTCCTTTCTTGTGTTTGTACTCACAGTTGATCTCTGACAGCGTCTTTCCCTCTCTGGTGCTCCTGCTGGTGGAACGAATGCGATGAGGAACAGAGACCGGAGACTATCAGGAAAAAAAAAAAACACAGACAGACATTCAAAGAGCTGTTCAATGATATATACACAGTTTAGTGGCTAACAAATTCCTTTGAGTCATTACAATAGGTTAAAAAAAAAAAGATCCCTCTGCTTTTTCCTTTGGCTGGGATTTGATGACACAGCAAAACAGGCAGCCACACTGTGCAACCAGACAACCAAGACATAGCAACACAGATGGAAAAAAACAATCTTACTGGGCTACAATGTCAACTTTTATTACAGCAGCAGTCTCACATAATATCTACTGATCTGCACTCTAACCCAGCAGGGTATGCTAATGCTTCATCCTATAACTTACATTGAGACAGCAGCTTTACGTATTTGTAGTAACTGGTTTCCTTTATAAATAATGGGGAATAAGTATTGTTCATCACTATGAGTGAATGTTTAAGCAGCACAACCGCTCTTTCATAAATCAAACCATTAAACTCTATACAGTCCAAACCCGTCTGTGAAGAGAAAGTGGAAACACAGCAACCTCAAAGCATGCTTACACAGCACTGGAATCCGGCAAACCAAGACTATACAAACGTTGCAGACGGTCACTGATATGTCAGTCAATTTAAAAAAGCCAAATATTTTTGGAGGAATAAAAGTCAATTTAATAAAAACACAACTCATGATTAGTCACTTACGGCAAAGTTAGACGAAGATGGCTTCCATAACTGAGATATTTGAGCATGCCCTTTCAAAATGCATCCCGTGCTTTTAAACAACCAAACGTAAAGACAAGAGTTTGAGCTGTCTTTATCAGGGCTGGGTAAAACAACACTTATGTCTAGTTTAGGTGACTTGGAGTTACAGTTGGGACAATTTACTGGACCACTGGCAAAAAGAAAACTATTTGAAGTCAGTTTTTAACCTTAAGTTGGAAACCATACCCGTCAAGCACAGGACATAAAACAGAATCTAAATGTCACAGCTCTTTTTTGCAAAATATGATCTAACCGGAGTGTGGTTTTAATTCTTAGTAATGTCCTATTTTGGTAACCATCTTCAAGAATGTCCTTAGCTGTTTCTTTATCTGATAGCCGCTGCCATAGAACTTGAATGAAAGGAGTCATATTCATGATGAAAAGTGATCTGCTGAGATTTAGAGATGGCATTAATGCTCTCGTGGAAGAGAGCTGTTTCTTTTAGTGCATGAGTGGTCACTGGTCATTGTGTCAAGGTGTCGTAATCCATCAGCCGTCATAAAATCACATGACAGGGATCAGTTCCAAGACAGCATCCACAATCCAAAAAAAACCAACTCATTCCAAAACAACCCTCAGCTTCGATTGTGTTAGCATGACATCACTTCAGACAACGCAGCCCAAACTGGTACCTTCCTGCGGGCAGCAAAACGGGGTGCACGTCGAGCACCGGGGCTTATGGGTAGGAAATGACCCCTGTACTTAAACTGAGGAGGAGGTAGTGGGCAGGAAGTGGAGAGAAGAGGACAGAGGAAAAAGGGGAAAGGAAAAAAAAGGAGAAGAGAAAGGTAGAGGGAAAGGAGAAGTGCTACAGGAAGAAAGAGGGAAAGAGGAAGAAGAGAGGAAGGGAAGAGAAGATGAAAGCAGAGGAGAAGATGAGTGAAATGAGTGACAAAGAGAGGACGAGCAGCACAGAAAGGAGAAGGAGAGGAAGGAAGGAGGAGGACAAACAGCAGAAAGATGAGTCACAAGTGCTGGGGAAAAGAAGGACTGAGGCTGAAGAGGGTGAACAGAGGTTATCGAAGAAAACATGAAGGGAGAGAAGCAAAAACCACCCAGCAAAAACAAGGTCACTGCCCTGTTGACCTGCACGTTTGATAAAGACTTTTGTTTTCGAAAAAGCAAAGCCTGATAAGGTCAAAGGTTACCTCTGGCTCAGGGTCGTCATCATCAAAGTCGTTGAAGGTGCTGTGGTCTGGGTTGTTGGCTTTGTCCAGCAGTTCTATCGCCAGAGTCCTGCTGAGAGGCTGCGACACAAACGGGTGCTGGAAGACAGACGTGAGGGAGGCATCAAATTAAGAGTCGGACTGGCTTCTTTCTTCTGTTTGACCAATATTTGAACAACCCAGGAATAATAAACGAGGGTGGTGAATAAATGTAATACTATTAACTACATCTGAGCTGTGATACATTGAGTAACCAACATATGCAGCGACTGGGTGATTAGTTGTGATAATAAATCTCTACCCTCAGATGTCCATAAATGATAGTTTATAAATATCACTTATAGGTATACAAATAATTGACTGGTTTCAGGTAAAAACACATCCCTAGTGTAACTTGTTGAACCTTTATTGTCTATCGATGCATAGCGGTATAGCTAGAAGGCGTACACTTGTTAAGAGTAAAACCATCCGGTCTGATTGTTTTAGAGACGTTCACTGCTCACCTGCAGCAGTTTCTCAGCTGTGGGCCTCTTCTTTGGGTTCTTGGTGAGGGACAGTTTGACAAAATGGTGGAAGTTATTTGTCCTGTGATCAAAGGAAGAAAGATTAAAACATATGAGTGGGTTATCCTTTTGGTCTTGCTGCATTGATGCTCAAATTGAGTAATCTCAACTGTAGGGTAAAGCGTCGACAGTAAACTAAGCTCAGTGGCTGAAAATAGTCTAAAAACGAGTATACAAGGCCCGTGTCTTACCACTTGAGTTTATCTTTCAACTTAGGAGGCTGGAAATTGCTCTTGGTCATTAGGAAGAGAGCCCTGTGGGGGGGAAAAAAAGAGCGATAACATTAAGCCTCAGGTCTCCAGAGCATTGTGAAATAGTTGTTGATTGGTCCAGAGAATGATCAAACAAAGCGTTACCATTGTCGATTCCTGAACTCTCCCATATGTTTAAATACAGCACTACTTTGTGTAAGGAACACTGCCAAACTGTTTCACTTCATCTGCATGTTCACTCAGCCAACATCACGCTCTTTAACACGTCACACATTCCTCGGCCTACCTCATGGGGTGCAGGTCAAACATGGGGGGCTGCAGTTCAGCCAGCTCGATTGCAGTAATGCCCACAGCCCAGATATCACACAGCTGGTTGTAACCTCCTTTCCTCTCCACTGCTGCTACCTCTGGAGCCATCCTGTGGAGAGGTGGTGATGGAGGAGCACAGAGAGACAGACAGACAGACAGACAGACAGACAGACAGACAGACGGCAAATGAGAGAAAGAGGGGAGATGCAAGGAGAGCATGAAAAAAACATAAATATATATACACACACAACAAAAACCTCACATTTTTTACAAAGTACTAAATCACTTTTAATGACCAAACTGAAAGACAATTTCTTTATTTTCTAGGGTCGATTTCATGCTTTCATTCTGGGTTTGCTGCTTGACGCCCCTTAAATCAATAGGAAGCTGAATCGTCTACATTTTTATCAAACTGCATGAATATCCAAAAGCCAATAGAAAACAGAGAGCACAACTCACCAGTACGGGGTTCCAATGAACGACTTCCTCTTGGCTAGAGTCGCTGTGATCTGGGCCGATACACCAAAGTCAGCTATGTCGAAGGAACAAAAGAGAGAACCGTGAGAACAGAGAGAGAGAGAAAGGGTGTGAACAAATGAAAAAGGGAGGAAAAGAGGATATGTGACGGAGGACACAATCATAAAAAAAGGTGAAAGAGGAAGAACCCCAGACAGTGTGTGGAGGGGTAGAGACAGAGAAGAGAGGGAAACCAAGTCAGTGAATGAGGCAAAGTCAGATTCAGTCTATGGAAGCAGAAGGTGATCCCCTCACCTAGCTTAACGTAGCCGTTGTCTGTCAGGAGGATGTTGGCTCCCTGTCAGAGACAAACACGCCGCGCATCAGAACCAGAACACAAGAAATCACATTTCATTTCAATTGTAAATAAGTTGATAAGTGAATTCAGAAGAGTACTTTTGTTGAAAAATGATTCATACTATCGCAGCAGCCTGCAGCTTTGAATCAGCTGTCTTCAGAATACAAGGATGCATTTATGTTTTTAATATCAGTTCAAATAGATAATTACATTCTTACTTATTACCTAGTAAATTATCATTTGACCTTTTATTGACAGAAAAATCGCAGTATAATCTGAAGTATTCCAACATCATAACCGTGTAATGAATTCTACCACTGTCAAAATACAATTCAAATGTGTGGCAGCCGTGTTAAGCCGCTCAGGTACTGAAATACCAAAAAATCAAAATTAATAATCAGCCTTTTTCAAGAGGAAGCTCTAAAAAAAAAAAAAAAAAAAGTATTTCAACTGAAACTTAGACAGAGTTCAAGATTGAAGTTTGGCTGACGTGTTTACTCACCTTGATGTCTCTGTGCATTTTGCCTTTATTGTGTAAATAGTATAAACCCTGCAGACACACGCACACAGAAAGTTATGGAGGGTGTTATTGCAGAGAAAAAAAAAAGAAAACAGTCATGTGATCAAAGCAAAAACATTGAACTGACAACATGTAAATTCTTAAAAATGGCAAATAAAGATATTTAGAAATTATTTCCAATCAGCTGATGGATAAGTGGAAAATCTATTGTTTGGTTCTTTGATCGGCTCTGCTAAAAGTTGGAAGCATAAAAACGGTATATCATCTCCGCTCTGCTACAAAAGAGCCTCCAGTAGATAATGCTAACAGTGCTCTCTCTCTCTTTGCTGAATAGAGGAATTGTCTGTTTTGTAATAATTTTCTTTTCATCTTTCTTATTTCAAAGAGCAGACAGTTTGATCTTCAGACCATGAAATATCAAAATTGAACTCCCTGAAACGTTCACGGTAGTGTTCAGACTTTATTCATTTACAACAAGAGGAGAAGTCTCACTCCTCAGATTGAATGCTCTAGTGTTAGCACAGTGTTTGCTAGTTTTAACATAAGAGCCAATAAAAGCTCAAGATCATACTGATTTTGGAGTTTATATTGTCATAAATTTAAAGGAAGAGCTTAAGATGACCAACTTGACTTCTCTTCACAACAAGAAAAAGAACATGGTAAACAATAAATGAAGAGTATACACTACCTGTAGGGTCTCCCGTGACATGTAGGCGATCTGTGACTCTGACAAAGGCCCGGTAACTAAAGGTGGAAAGAGAGAGAGAGAGAGAGAGAGAGAGAGAGAGAGAGAGAGAGAGAGAATGAGATGGATAACACAGTGTAAGAAAAGTTGCAATCAAAACACAGCACTGCTAACACAAAATGTGTGCATGTTGGTCTTACTGTGATAGATATCCTGCAGAGAACCTCCTCCACAGTACTCCATACTGATCCATAACTTGTCTCTCCTGCACACACAGGGAGCACTGTGTTAGTACAAACATACACACTTCTCACTAAAGTCATTTCTTTTCTCTCTCACACACACACACACACAACAGCTCATCCATTTTTTTTTTCTCTTCCCGCTTCATGTTACTATGTTATGCTGTGATGTCATACATTTCCATAGCCCCGATAAGCACTTTATTGAACAAAGGACACTCTTACCGGAGATAACTGCCAAAGTAGGCCACGATGTTGGAGTGTTTACAGTCCTTCATCATTATGATCTCCTGCTGGACGACAGCAAAGTCCTCACCTGGGCAGAACACATGGGTAAACACATTGTTAAGAGTGGTGACAATCTGGTGTCTTTATTTTCAAACCAGAATGAAGCAGCAGAACAGATGAAAAAGAAATAATGAGGTAAGACAACATGACACAAGTTTACACTCTGTTACTTAGATTCGTAATCTACTGTGTGTGTTTTTGTTATTTTCAGGAAATGTAGAAGATGGAAACCAGAAGAGGGAAAGTAAAGGGGGCATATGATGCATGTGGGAAAGGAGAGAGAGAGAGAGAGAGAGAGAGAGAGAGAGAGAGAGAGAGAGAGAGAGAGAGAGAGAGAGAGAGAGAGAGGAAAGATTGGTCAGGGGAGAGCTTGGAAAAAAGTTTGTTTTTCTTATATTTGAAAGACAAAAAGCTAAAGGAGAAAGATGGCAGGGAGTGTCAGATAAGAGACGGACGGAGGAGCTACTGAGATTAAAGCTGAAAAAAGAAGACGTAAAGAAACAGAGAGAAAGTTGAGATAGCTCACCTGGCTCCAGCTTGATGACTTTGATTGCAGCCAGCTCTCCTGTGTTTACATTACGAGCCTACAGGAGGTGACAGAAAAAACAAAGTGAGTCATGAGAAGCTCTGAGACGTGCAGTACATCAAACATTTAGCAACATAGACACCAAATTGAGTCACATTTTTCTGAAGTGAGGGAGGAAAGGGGAGAAACTGTAACTGTTTTCACACAACTGCTATGCACAATGTAGCACAACGTAGACTGGACACCAGTCAAAGTTCTACCAGTGAGAGGAAGCGTAGTTTTATAAATATGACACCTAGGCAGGCTATGAGAACAACATTTTATCCTGGCAGAAAATATTTGTAAGTCACAACAATATCCTGATGATTTTCTATGCAGATAACTCTTAAAATTATCTTGAATATTTTACTTTATATTTTAGAAAGAGAAACCCTTTTTTCTTTATTTTAACTAGTAATTAGAGTAAACCCGTGACCTATTACCACATCAAACATTTCTGGATCAGACTCAACCCTCAGACCAGAAACTCTCCCACTAATGCAGCTCCTTGTTGTACAGGTCACACATATATGATGGAGACGGGCATGGGACAAACAGAGGCATGATGGGAAAGGAGAATCCCTCTTAGAAGAATTTGTAAGACATGCATTCAAAAGTTCGGTCCCACCACATACAGAGTTTCGCTGCTATCAAATGCAGAAATTCTTGAATAGAAAAATGTTATTGCCATTTTTAATTAAGTAAGAATTACTGAGGTATTGTCAGAGTTACAATACAAATTTGTCTCATCAGGATGCAAATTATTACCTGTTAGTTCGTTTTGGGCGACTCCTGAGGACAAAGCGGCAACTCTTATTTCTGAGCTCACTTTGTCATGTACATGTGTAAGTAGTGTTTCTTTTGACAGTCAAATGTTGAACTCACTGAGAATATTTGCTTCGAAAAATGTAAACAAAGACCTTTTTCTGCATAGTGATGTAAATCACTTCGTCTGACACCTTCGCTGCAGCGCAGCAGTTTAAGGTATTAAATGTCACTACAAAGAAGACATAATGAATCTTTACACTGATGTTCTTGTTTGCTTTTGAAGGTCATGCAGAGGAATCAATACTAGTTTCAGTCATAACAGTGAAGACTTCATACTGGAGCTATAAGGTTGTGTTTCTAAATGTGACCAGAAAGATCACCAGTTGATCAACATGGTGTTTGCGAAGTCAAACTAGCAGAGTTCCGCCAGAGAAAATTCACAACACACCAAAAATGCCACTTCAGATAAGGTGCAACGACTCAGGAATGTAAGAACTTCAACAGGAAGTCAAGACCATTTTTCTTGTATTCCTAAAAAGCAGGGAGTTCTGCAGGATAGCGAGGCAGATTTTCTATAAATAGCGAGCTGTGTTTACATTTAGCAGCAGGGCTGGTGGGGCACGGAGGAATTCTATATGAAATGTACATGAATAAAAGATGGCCTTTCAGAGGAGACATGAACTGCTCATTTTTCTCAGGCCAAGAATGTGCAAATGTGACTGTGAGACAAGAATGTGTGAAGGAAAGAGAGAGTGTGGGACAGAGGGTGAAAGGTTTTACACATTAACTGATAAGACTTCCAACAGAAGAGACAAAACAAGAGCTTCAACACCCCTGTTTGACAATGATCTAGTTATGTTTACTGATGCTGTGGTGTCAGTATTTCTACTTTCAATGGAGCGACAGAAATGCCCCTATCTGCCCTCATTTTGACTCACAAGCATCTCCAACTATGGAGGGGAAAACTGTTTCAAAGAAACATCCCTCAAGCTTAAGCTCTGACTGGAAATATGCTCATTTGTCCTGTAGAGAGATTTAGTCCATTATTTCAAAATTAGACAAGTTTTTAAAATCACATTTACTTAAAAAAAAACTTTTAAATGATGGCTACCTCAGACATATTTACCTAGATTTTTTTCATCAGAATTAATCGACATAGAACGAAACACAATCAGCTTGAAGTAATTGCTGATATAAAAGTGCTTTGTACTGTTCTGGCTAAGCACTGACCGATATTGGTTTTTGGGGGCCGATATCAATACCGATATTTTGGAGAGAAAAAAATTCAGATACCCATAAATCCGCCAATATCTTTCTTTGATTTATTTTCCATCTTTAGAGATCAGTTGGTAAAAATATACACACACATTTACTGTGTATCATCCTCCATCAAATGAAAACGTTTTTTTTTCCTTCTTTTTTACAGTTAAACAAAGGCCAATTGGCCAGGATAACAACAGCACACTGAAACACACATTTTCATTCATAAATGAACAACTAGAAATAAAAACTATATCAATTATACTTACATTGAATAAACCTTGTTATATGGGCACATATCGGAGATAAAATAAGCAGATACCAATAGACACGTGATATGCTAATATCGGCCGATAATATCCGCTGCCCGATTAATCGGTCGGGCTCTAGTCCCGGCTACTTTTTTTCATGTCATCAGTCATCTCCATCTTTTATCCTTCTGTTAATTCTCTACTTTCTTTGTCAGAATCTAATGAGAATAGTTGTTGCAATAAAACTGCTTGCAATTGTAAAATTACTGTGCAACAGAAGAGATCCGATGTAATTAAAAGAAAGGGTATCTTGCCCAATCAATGCCTTTTACTTATTATTGTAACAACATGGGAAGTTTTGAACAATTTCACCAAAGGTTTTCGGGGACACACTGATGCATAATGTGCTGCTAACTGAAATGAAAAGTCAGTATGAGCAGTGACAGCATCCATTGCTTGAGGAAAATAGAAAAAAACAACGACATCAACAAGGCAGCAATGACTGCAGAAAGACATCATGGACATGGAGCTCAAGGACAAAAACTACACACAAAGAAATGATTAAGTTATAATAATAAAGAACAGAGTTACTCAGTTTTGAGATAGTTTGTGTCCTTAGTTCAAGAGGAAGATCAAGTAGAGAAGAACAAACAAAACAAAGCTGTGGAGGGAGGGAGGAGACATACAAAGAGACGCACAGAGAACAGACGAAGAAGAAGTGAGTGTAGAGCACAGACAGTATGTCTTCAGTCAGCAGACAGAGCAGAGATGACTCATAGTGCTCTGCGCCACTGTTAGTGGCAACAACACACAGCCTGACTTGACTTGACTGGCCGGCTCTTGTGACTGACTGAGGCATGACGGCGTCTAGTTAGGGAGGCAGACGACTTCTTAAGTTTGATCACCAGCAAGGTCCTTAAGCAGTGTGTGCTCTGAACACACAAGCAGGGAGCCCTTAGTACACAACCACAAAATCTAACTCACTGACAGCTTCAAGGGTCTTGAGTAAGCCCATTAGAAAAGAAATAACTTATATTAGGTAGGCTGCTCAGAAACAACTGCAGAGCTATTTTATTCATTTTTAAACTTCATTAAACTTAACTTGTGAAGTTTAAATGAGCATACTGAACACCTCTTCTGGCTTTATCACCTGGTTGGTATGGTAATATGTCAATAGAAGACAAAGGTAGGTTGCAACACATTATTAACGTTGCCAGTAAGATTATTGGGGTTAAATTACCCGATCTGTTTCTCACCTTGAGAGATCTTACGGAGTCCTGAAGATCCTCCGTTTGGTGAGTTTGAGCTTCTGCCCTTAGGCAGGAGATACAGATGACCTCAAGCCAAGTCCCGCAGGTTTAAAAATCATTTTATAACTGAAGCCATCAAAATACTGAAGTCCAACGATGACTGAATAGTGAGTTTTCTTTTGTTTGAATTATGGTTCTATGGGCATTTTTATACATTCTTCAGTTTTCTGTTTTTACCTGATGAACTGTAGTATTTATATTTCATGTTGTTTACGATATATGTTGTCTGAGTCTATGTGCCTGTGTTTTCTATTTTGTTTATCGTTTTCACCTAGCTACAAACCAAATTTCCCTTCAGGGGCAATAAAGTTGAAGTTGAAGTAGACCTCTTATTGCCAAAAGACATGAGCACAAGCAATCATTTCCGACCGATACAGATTTTTGGGGCCGATACAGATATCGATATAAGGAAGAAACAATAAAAAAATAACTGATACCGATAAACCCGGCTAATATCTTTTGCTTTTAGCCCTTAAATGCAGATATCAAACACGTGTGGAAAAGTTTTACAGTATATGGAAGACAAGATGGTGACTCAAATGGAAAATTAACTGTGCATGTACGTGCATGACTTCTTGATACTCTGAGAGTGATAATGCTTTTTGTAATCCATATAGCACACTCGGCTGGTGACAGCCAGAAAGAGAACTGCTAGTGTAATACAATGATACTCAAATGAAATGCTATTTGACTGGCGAATAAATCCAGTTATATCGGCACATACATGTATATCTGGGATAAAATTAGCCGATACCGATAGTCCCTTAATGCGCTAATATCGACCGATATTATGGGCTGACTGATTAATCTGTCGGGCTCTATTTCTGATAACACAGAAAAGTCTCAAGGGGTGATTGAGTAGTTGACTAATGAATGATAAAACACAGGAACAGACAAATGAAAATTTTGTAATCATATTCAAGAGAAATTTCAGAGTAGCAGCACATTCAAATGTGTTTTGAGTGACATTTAGCTGACTGAGAATCTTAGCACATCACAGCCACATCAACACAGTCCGAGTGCCTCTCTGTAATGTTACATGACGAGCCACAGGTGATAAATTATGTGAACGAGAGAAAAGATAACGCCATTAACGCCACATGGTTTGATGACACCCTGCATGTGCTTGGTAATGGGCTGGACATACCTGTGCCAAAAGAACTGGTTTTGGTAATACCAAAGCAGAATGTTTTGTGCAACATATTTGGAAGAATAAAACATATTTCTCTAAACAGTTCTGAACTCTACATCAACAGATTTACAAAAAAAAAAAAAACGTATAAAGATGATAACATATCAAATTGAAGGTGAAACCTGATACAGTAAAGTGTAGATATAAGCAAACTATAACTATTAAACTATTCCGATTTGATACACATCCCTACTTGGGAAATTTGACCTGAAGAAACAGACTAATTAATCAAATACAG